GTTATGCTACTTTACATAAAATACAAGAACACTGCAGTATACTCCTATTTCCTTCTCCTGTCCTCATGCTATGGTTGTCATACATTTTGCTTCCACATATTATAACTTCACAAATTGTTATACATTTAAGCACATCTGAATTTTTAACTTCATGAATGAAGATAATGATTTCCTTAACCAGAAACTCTTCTATATTAAATATGCATTATTCTGTGTCATTCGGAACTTACTTACTTGTAAGATAGCTGGACCTATATTAATATCCAGATGACATTTTCACATTGCACATTGTTCTTCTAGTTTTTTGAGAATGTAATGAAAGCTAAGAACCCTATCTTAGGAAACTTTGCATGAAATCTCATCCATGGACCCTTGGTTTAGAACCCCTGTTTTCAAAGTAGGTATTTCTACATGTATACTATTTATTTTATCATTACCTTTTTTGTATATTTCTTCTGACTACTGAGGTAATTTTGGTAAGGCCTTAAACTATTTTGGGTTTGTATGTATAAAACAGAAATGTTGAGTTTAATGACTTGTTACAAAATGGGAACCTATGTTGCCATGATATAGGTCAAGAATGGGAACATTGTCAGCACCCTGAAGTCTCCTATAAGCCCCTTCTAAGTCACAACCCCCTTATTTCCATCTAAGGGAAACTATTACCCTAAATTTTATGAGAATTAATTTTTTTCCTTATGAAAGTACTTCTTACTTTTATTTCCTAATTTCCTAAGAAAGGAAATTATCCTATAACTGGTATGTTCTATTTTTCCTCTTTTTGAACTCTATATAAATGGCATCATATAGTAATAGAAATAGTATGAGGAAAGATTCACTAAGTTTATTCATGCAAAGTATTAAATTATTTTTCTTCTTTTTTATAATTTATGACTCAGGTTCCAATTTATCAATTGAAATGTATATTTGTATTCACATAAATATATATATTGAAATAATTTTGGTGTATGAGACAATTTATAAAGATCCTAGCCTCTTTGAAAATTAGTACTTCTTAATTGGGGAAGAATCTTGTATACAGCGAAAAATGGTCATTTCATATGACAGTGCCCTCTGCTGTCCTCAGTGCAGATTGCATTGGGATACTACATTTGATTCTGTGAAGAGGAAGTGGTCATTGGCTTTATGGACCATGTGAGACTAAATTTAAAATGTTCTCTGTGTGAAAGGATTAAATACTTTTCTCACTTTATCCTGAAATACAGGTATTTATATGTAATTTAAATATATACTTTTTAATATATTACAAGTATAAATATATATTTAAAGAATACTCTAAGCTATATGTGAATGTGCCTTATTACACTTAAAAATCCTCTACATAAAAGTAAGTACAAATTGAACTTTATAGATATCCTCTGGATATCTTTAACGTAGAGCCTGGTATTCATCTGCAAGCATTTATTAAACTTTTGCATTATTCTTCATAGTCATTCCTGATCTGTGTTTGGGTAGTTAGGGTTTAGGACAAAAGGCAAAATCACAGGAAAAATAATCAGAGACTACTTAGTCTTTTAGTACTGCTAACTTGCCTTGCTGGCTGTGTTGTTCTCTAAGTGAAGGGAGTGTCATGTATCTTAGGGTCTCATAAAATATGTACTTTATTGGTTATGAGATGTCTGACGGTGCTTGCTCTCATCAGATAGATTTAGTAATATACCAGATACATTCACCTTGCCAATGAAGACATGTTCTTTTGTGGATCAACTACTTGGTATATATAGGCCCTCATATTAAATTACATTCAGTTGAGTTACTCATTAAGCATATGTTTAGCACCCATATGTACTAGACACTGCCATTCAAGAAAGTTGTATGTATTGGGATTTTGTTTCATTTTTCCAGTAATATAGTTTTACTGTATTTTACAAAAGTATTGATTCACAGTCAACAAGTTGAAAAACAAATGGTAGAAACTGATCCTTCCCAACAGAAATTTGAAAAGCACTGTTTTCAGCTGTTAAGCCCTTTTTAACCTACATATCAAAAATAAAAGTTCTTAGAACTTAGAGGCTGATAGAGAGGACTGCATACTGAACTACCTCGCTAGGCACAGTTACAAAGAAGTGCTAAGTCAATACAAGTTACTCTAGCTGATCTTTCCCCCAACTTTATCAGTACGTTGTCGGTTATCTTCTATGACAAATTGCTTTAATTCTTCTTCTTTTTTTTTTTTATCCACTTGTTCCAAAAGAACACCAAAAGCTTTTATAGCATTCCACTAAAAAGACAAGTTTCTTCCTTCGGGATATATGTTGGCCCTTTTTTAGCCTGTTTAACTTTCTTACCTTGGAGAATTGCCTGGAATTCACTCAACTAGGATTTTCCTTCCTGCTGCTCTTCCATTACCCATGGGAAATATTTCAGAAGATGAGAGATATGCTGAATACGAATATTGCAAAAAATGAGCTCATGCAGCATTCTAGCTGTCCCCAAACCCTGTAAGCACCAGTTGATCATACACATAATGAATTAATATTTCAGAATAGTTCAGAAACGCTCGGGTTTACTTGGCATATATAGACCCTTATATTAAATTGCATTCCGTGGAGTCATAATTTTCATATAAAACATTCTTAGAGAAAATGACATTTTAAAAACATTTTTAAAAGCAAAACACTAACTTATGAATTCAAAATTGGCATTCCTCAGTGCTCAGAATCTAGTCATTCAAATGTTATGTTCCCCTTGTAGTGATAAAATTGATGTGAGGAAATAAAAAGCTAGAACTGTGATAAAATAATCTGCTTCTAATTTTAATCTATCTTGACTAATTAAAATATTTAGAATGAAATATAAATTAAGAAAACACTTATTTGAGTATTAGTTTTCTATTGCAGCCATAACAAATTGCCACAAATTTAGTAGCTTAAAACAGTATCAGTTTATCTCACAAATGTATAGGTCTGAAGTCTGGCTGGGCTCACTAGTTTCTCTAAACCTGGTCACAAAAGGCCAAAATCAGTATGTTGGCTGGACTGGGCTCTGGAGACTCGCGGAGAAACCACTTCCAGGCTCATCCTGATTACAACTGGCAGATTTCAGTTCTATGCACTTGTAGGACTGAGGTCCCTGCTTTCCTTGCTGACTATCAGCTGGGAACCAGTCTTTGCTTCTAGAGAATATCTGCATTCCTTGTCATGTTTTCCGTGTGGCCCCCTACAGCAATGGTGGGTTGAGTTTTTCTCATTTACCTTTCTGCTGCATCTCTGTAACTCCAGCTAGAGAAAGTTCTCAGCTTTTAAGAGCTCATGTGGTTAAATTGGGCTCACTCATATAACCTCCCTATTTTAATGTATGTAATCTTAATTACATCTGCAAAGTCTCTTTTCTTATGTGAAGTACACATGTTGCAACCTTTTTTTTTTTTTTAAAGATTTATTTATTTTACAGAAAGAGAGTGTGCGAATGGGAGGGGGGCATGGGGCAGAGGGAAAAGGAGAGAGACAGTCTCAAGCAGACTCCCCTCTGAGTGCAGAGCCTGACAGGGGCCTTGATCTCCTGACCCTGAGATCATGACCTGAGCTGGAATCAAGAGTCAGATGGTTAACTGAGCTACCCAGGCGCCCCTAGTGTTGCCCTTTAAGTAAGAGGCTAGCTTTAGGATTGAGGTTTATATTTGTATATAGATTCATGCTGAAGAATTATCCTTCCGTTCCTATTTTTTCAAGAGTTTTGAGGTATTGAATTTCATTTAAGGACTTTTCACCATTTATGAAGATAAATGGTTGTTCTTCTTAGACCTATTAATATGATTAATTATAGTAATTGATTTCTAACACTAATTAAAGTATAAACCCCTTTTACTCAGGGTGTATGATTTCCTTAATATGGTGTTGAAATCTGTTTGATAATATTTAGGGTTTTTACTTTGATATTTGTATTAATTATCTATTGCTGAGTAATAAACCACCTCAAAACTTAGAGCTTAAAACATAAACATTTATTATTTCTAGGGGTCAGGAATCTATATATGACTTGGCTGGGTGCCTCTGGCTCAGGGTCTCTCATGAGGCTATAATCAAGATGTCAGCTGGGACTCAACTGAGGGAAGATTGATTCAAAGCTCACTCAGTGGCTGTTGGCATGCCTCAGGCCCTCACTGACTATTTGCTGGGAATATCAGTTTCTTGGGCTTGTCTGGGCTTGCCACAGGGCTACTTATAACCTGGAAGCTTGCTTCCCCCAAATTGAAGGTTCTGCGAGAAAGAGAATTGACATGATAGAAACCCACAATCTTAGAACCTAATCTTGGAAGGGACATCCCATTTCTTTTGCTGTATTGTTTATTAGATGAGAGTTACTAGGTCCAGTCCATAATCAAGGGGAAAAGATCACATGTACAAGGATGTAAACACCAGGGGGCAATGATCACTAGGGGTCATCTTGAAGACTGTCCACTACAGTATACATAAATAAATTGTTCTAATTTTATTTTTTGTGTTATATATAGCAGATTTAGGTATCATTGTTATACTTCACTAAAAAAATTGGGGTGTTTCCTTCATTTTCTATCTCAGAAACAATCTATATGACATCAGAACTACATGTGTAAAGACTTGGTAAACCCTGTGAAACCATCTGGGTCTGGTACCTTTTTGCTTTTGATAAGTCCACTGGCATTATAATTATTTTGCCCTTATAAGTTCTTTATTGTTTTTGTTTTTTGCTTGGAGGCCCTGAGTTTTCTCTATCTGTAAAGTCTAGTATTTTACTAGGATATGTCTCAGAGTTGATTCTTTAGAGTCACTTTTCCCGGGTACCCAATGAACTCTCAGTATTTGTTGTTTCAGTTCCAGTTATTCATATATTACTTATTTGCTTATTTCTCTAACTCCTTTTTCTTTTTTTTTTAACCAATTCTCATTCTCTCGGTTGTTTTCCTACTTTTCTTCAGTGCCCTATATTTAATTTTTATTTAAACCTATTCTCGTCTTTTTCTTCTATTTCTTTCTTGTGTTCAGTCAACTCTCATTCACTTTATCTCCCAGCCCCTGTGGTTTTTTTTTTTTTTGCTGTGTGGGGGGATGATTTCTACTCCTGATTTTTAAATTTCTGATTCAAGGGGCACCTGGGTGGCTCAGTCGTTTAAGTATCCGACTTTTGATTTCCGCTCAGGTCATGATCTCAGGGTTGTGGGATTGAGCCCCTCATGGGGCTCTGTGCTGGGCATGGGGCCTACTTAAGATTCCCTCCCCCTCTGCCCCCCCCCACCGCTCTCACACCAGCGTGCTCTCTGTCTCAGAAAAAAGCATTTAAATTTCTGATTCAGTATTTTTCTTTTTCATATAAATTATGCTATTTAAAGATATTGAGTGCATTTTGGAGTGGTCACTACCAGTTTTTCTTCTATTTCATGGTTTTACATGGGGAGGGAGGTGCTTTTCATCAGCAGAAATGTTTGAATTTACATATTCTGCTTTATTCTTACAGTAGCTTTTTATAGAATTAGCTTGATATTTTCTATTTCTGAGTATTTTGTGGCTAGAATTCCTAATTTGAGAGTGTCAACTTCTCACAGTTTAGTTTTGAATGGATGCATTAGGAAATGGGAGAGGAGCTAGCATGGCTTGTATCTCTTTTGTTTCTACAGAATCCTTATTCTTCCCCTCTAGTTTTTTCTTTTATTTCTCAGAGGGAATCACCCCTTCTCTACTTATCTGGGTCTTTTTTCAGAAGCTGTGCTTATTCAAACTATCAATTTTAGCCTTATTCATTTTCAAGCTCCTTTTCTATAGCCCATGCTGTGAACTACCAAATCCCCAAATTGTACTCAATTTTTTAGAACATAGTGTTAGATTTTCTCATTCTGGGGGTGATTTTAACTGTACCTCCTCAAAGTCTTCATTTCCCTGTCCTGTTTTACATGGATTTTAACTGTACTTCCTCAAAGTCTTCCATTCCCTATCCAGTTTTACATGGATGTGTTAAACCTCCTCATTATCACTTTGTGCCCATTGGCTTGCAACAGCAGCAGGAAATCATTTTTTAATTTGGTGTTTATTTCTGTACTTAAAGATAATTTCAAGGATGCAGTATTCTCTGTCTCTGAGTAATCCTGTTGGTGTGGCTTGCTTTCACCCCTTGTTAATTTTGTAATTTGGGAGAGGATGTGTGTAAAGATTAGGAATCAATTGGCAGCAATCTTCTAGACCAACCCTTGAAATTTTAGTTTTTAAAACTTAGCAGATTTATCGGTGAAGTTTTCCAAGCATTTAAGAAAGAAATAACATCAATCTTACATACACTTTTATTGAATAGAAAAGGAAGTTATACTTCCCAGCTCTTTTAATGAGTATAATGTTTATTCCAGAATCTAGAAATGACATTTTAAGAAAGCAAATTATAGACCAGTCCCATAAACATAAATGTAAAAATCCTTAACAAAATATTAACAAATTTAATCTAATGATAAGATGTCATGACTTACGAGGGGCTTATTCCAGAAATTCAAGGTTGGTTTAACATTAGAAAACCAATTAGTGTAATATACTATATTAACAAAAAAGGGAGACAGATCATTACAAGCTGATAGACGCAGAAAAAGCGTTTGACAAAATTCAACATCCATTCGTGATAGAAACTCTTAAGACATTAGGAAGGAACTTTCTTAGTCTAATAAAGAACATTTACAAAAGTCCTACAGCAAACATCTCATAATGATAAAAATAGTGAAAGCTTTCCCTCTGACATCAGGAACAAGGAGAGTACTATCACCACTTCTGGTCATAATTATACTAGATATCCTAGACAGTTCAGTAAGGCAAGATTAAAGAAGTTACAAGGATTGGATTATAAGAAATCTTATTATTCACATATGACATCATTGTGATCCAAAAGAATATACATAGCTAATCTTTTAGAATTAATAAGTGAATTTTGTAAGTTTGCTGGCTGCGAGGTTAATAAAAGACAATAGCATTTCTATATGCCAGCAGCAAACAAATAAATAACAAAATTTAAAAAACAATACCATTCAGAGTAGCATTCGGAAAAAAAAAACCTAACACCTAGGAACAAATCAAAAGGCATGTCAGAATTTTACATTGAAAGCTGGAAAACAATACTGAGAGAAATTAAAGAATGCCTAAGTAAATGGTGAAATAGAAATATACCATGTCCATGGAATAAAAGACTCAATATTGTAAAGATTGACCTCTTCCCCAGAATAATCCAGAGTCAAGGTAGTGCCAATGAAAATCACAGCAAGTTGGGGTGTGTGTGTGTGTGTGTGTGTGTGAACAGTCTCAAAATTCATATGGAAATGCAGAGTACCAAGAACTAAGGAGGTCACAAAGAACAAAGTTAGAAGGCTTATACTACCAGATAGCAAACCTGTTATAAAACTAATTTAAACAGATGATTTTTATACATACAAGGGTAGAAAAACTGACCAGTAGAGTTGAGAAACAGATCCAAAATATATGGTTATTTAATCTAAGACAAATGTGACACTGTTAGTGCATTAGGAAAGAATGGGCTCTTTAGTAAGTGTATGTAAATGTGTAAAATCCATTCAAGATGAATTGCAGATATAAAAGTGAAAGGTAAAACAGTGAAGCTGTCTGAAAGAAAACAGGAGAATATCTTTGTGGTCTTAAAATAGTCAAAGATTTCTAAAACAGGACACAATAATCACTAACCATAAAGAAAAAGATTGATAAATTAGACTATATTAACATTAATAACTTCTATCAAAAACATAACTAAAAGAATGAAAATTCAACTTGCGGAGGGAGAGAAGATTATCTCAATATTTATATCCGACGAAAGACATAGTTAGAATATATAAAGAACTCCTTCAAAGTGATAAGACAGACAACCCAGTTAAAATAAAGGGGCAGAAAACTAACTTTTCAGAGGATATCTGAATGGCCAAAAAAAAAAGTTAAAAAGCACTGAATTTCATTAGCCATTAAGGAAATGGGAATTAAAATCACACCTTTTTATTACACTCCCACAAGAAAAGCTAAGATGAAAAAGATAGAATATATCAAGTTTTAGCAAGGGTGTGAAGCAACTGCAGCTTTCAGAAAGTACTAATGGGCGTGTAAGTTGGTACAGTGGAAAATGCCCAGTATCTACTAACGTAGAATGTCACATACCCTAAGACACAGTAATTCTATTCCTATGTGTCTGTGGTTGACAGAAAATGGCCTTCCAAGCCCTAGAACCTGTGAACATGTTACGTTATATGGCAAGGGGGAATTAGGTTGCATATGGATGTAAGGTTGCTACTCAGCTGACTTTAGAACAGGGGGATTATCCTGGTGGGTAGACCCAGTGTAAGCACAAGGGTCCTAAAATGCTATAAAGGGACACTGAAAAGTTCAGAGTCAGAAAAGGAGGGTTAGTGATAGAAGCAAGATCAGAATTGATGAGTATGAGAAGAATGTAACCCATCAGTGCAGGCTTTGAAGATGGAGGAGTGTGGCCATGGGCCAAGAATTGTGGTCAGGCTTTAGAAACTGGAAAAGGTAGGGAAATGGACTCTCCCCTGGAGCTTCCAGAAAGGAATGCAGCCCTACTGAAATCTTGATTTTAAACTAGTGAGTCTTTTGTTGGACCTTGTAACCTACAAAAAACTGTACTAGAAAGCAGGAGGCATCACAGTTCTGGACTTCAGACTGTATTCATCAAGACAGTATCGTACTGGCACAAAAACAGACACATAGATCAATGGAACAGAATAGAGAACCCAGAAATGGACCCTCAGCTCTATGGTTAACTAATCTTTGAAAAGCAGGAAAGGATATCCAATGGGAAAAGGACAGTCTCTTCAACAAATGGTATTGGGAAAATTGGACAGTCACATGCAGAAGAATGAAACTGGACCACTTTCTTAGACCATACACAAAAATAAATTCAAAATGGATGAAAGACCTAAATGTGAGACAGGAATCCATCAAAATCCTTGAGGAGAACACAGACAGCAACCTCTTTGACCTCAGCTGCAGCAACTTCTTGCTAGACACGTCTCCAAAGGTAAGGGAAACAAAAGCAAAAATGAACTATTGGGACTTCATCAGGATAAAAAGCTTTTGCACAGCAAAGGAAACAATAAAACTATAAGGAATGGGAGAAGATATTCGCAAATGACACATTAGTTAAAGGGCTAGTATCCAAGATCTGTAAAGAACTTATCAAACCCCACACCCAAAAACCAAAAAATCCAGTCAAGAAATGGGCAGAAGACATGAACAGACATTTCTGCAAAGAAGACATCCAACTGGCCAACAGACATAAGAAAAAATGCTCCACATCACTTGGCATCAGGGAAATACAAATCAAAACCACAATGAGATATCATCTCACAACAGTCATAATGGCTAAAATTAACAAGTCAGGAAACAACAGGTGTTAGTGAGGTTGCAGAGAAAGGGAAACCTTCTCTTGCACTGTTGGTGGGAATGCAAGCTGTGCAGCCACTCTAGAAAACATTATGGAGGTTCCTCAAAATGTTAAAAGTAGAACTACCCTGCGACCCAGCAATTGTATTACTTGGTATTTCTCCAAGGGATACACAAAGTGATTTGAAGGGGCAGATGCACCCCAGTGTTTAGAGGAGTAATGTCCACAATAGCCAAAACATGGAAAGAGCCCGGATGTCCATCAACAGATGAATGGATAAAGAAGATGTGGGAGGTGGTATGTATATGTGTGTGTATGTATATACATATATATATATCTCATATATATATCATATATATAATGGAATATTACCGAACCATCAAAAAGAATGAAATCTTACCATTTGCAATGACGTGGATGGAACTAGAGGATATTATGCTAAGCAAAATAAGTCAGTCCAAGAAAGACAAATACCATATGATTTCACTCATATGTGGAATTTAAGAAACAAAACAGATGAACATAGGGGAAGGGAAGGAAAAATAAAATAAGATAAAAACAAAGAGGGAGGCAAATTATAAGAGACTCTTAGCTCTAGGAAAAAAACTGAGGGTTGCTAAAGGGGAGGGGTGTATGCAGATTGGGTAATTTGGGGTAATTGGGTGATGGGCATTGAGAGCACTTGATGTAATGCACACTGAGTGTTATATGCAACAGATGAATCACTAAATTCTACCCCTGAAACTAATAACACATTATATGTTAACTAAATTGAATTTAATTAATTAAAAAAAACCCTAATATAGTATAAATCCAATAGAAATGCATACAGATGTTCATCTACAAACAGGTCCTAGAATGTTCATAGTGGCACCATTCATAATAGCCAAAACCAGGAAATAACCCTAAAGGTCCTTCAACAGTGGAAGTGATAAATCAGAGTAGATAGGGTTAATTGAATTATCTTAATGGTTCATGTCATCATACTATGATAGTCTGATGAATTCATTTTCAATATAGAAATTACCTGCCAAATATTGAACAATTTAAGACCAGTGTTGGCAGTCAGGGTACACTGTCTTTTGTGATACTGGACGTAAAACTGAAATATTATTACTTCATGCAGAAGTTTACTATTTGATTATAGAATATTTATTAAAAGTTAAATCATGCATGGAAATGATTCTCACTAACTTCAGGATATTAGCTGCCACTGGAGAGAGAAAGAAGTCAGGAAGGGAAGGAAAAGGGATGAGAATAGAGTTCAGAAATAAATGTGGCAAAATATTAACATTTGTAAAATCTGGGTAGTGGGTATGTGAGTATGTTATTTTCTGTGTATTTGAAATATTTTGTAATTAGGAAAGTTCTTAGCAGAATACATTAATTCCACCAACTATGATACATACCTTTTTTCACATTCAGTCAGGCCTTAATTAGATTTCTATACCCGTGTTATTCTTAAAAGTAACAGCACAGCAAGGGACCAGTCATGCCTTTATATTCTGTCTTGCTTGGGGTTCTGGAACTAGGCAGGTTTAGGGTCTACACTTGACGAAATCTGGATTCCTCAACAGGTGTTAAGAGTGCTTTTAACATTCACCTAAGAGTAATAATGCTATCGTTCCAGCAAATACTCATTTTTTCTTCCTAATGGAGATTGTTTTCCCCATGAAGTCTTTACTTACTAACAACTAAAACAATAGAACAAAAAGAATCCTTGAGTAAGTTAGCCAGGAGTTACCTAGAAGGTGAAAGGTGAAAGGGGTGATGGTGGTAGGGGGAGCTGGCTGCTGTAGTGCAGGAAAATTGACAGCACAGTGGAATGAAAGGAAAATCAAGCCGAGGTACTTCCATTGTGCTTTTAGGTGATCTGGTAGACAGAACAATGGCCCCCCAAAGACGTCTGCTCACATTCTGTTCTTCCTCAGAACTTGTTATAAGTTGACCCTGGAACAGCACAGGTTTATACTACATGGGTCTACTTACCCCAGATTTTTTACAGTACTGTAAATGTACTTACTCTTCCTTACGGTTTTCTAAATATTTTCTTGTCTCTAGCTTACTTTTTTGTAAAAATATAGTATATAATATATACAAAATATGTGTTAATCGACTATGTTGGGGGGAACCCCCTATGCATGGGGTCAGTGCCCCTAACGCCCATGTTGTTCAAGGGTCAACTGTATTAACTTTTGGCAAAAGGGACCTTGCCAGTGTAATTAAGGTTCTGAAGTTGAAAACGGGGAGATCAGCCTGGATTATCTGGGTGGACCCAATCTAATCACCTGAGCCTTTAAGAAATAAAGACATGAGGCAGAATGGGAAGTGAGAGAGATTAGAGGCGTGAGGCTTCCAGGATGGAGAAAGGGACCTCAAACTAAGGAATGCAGGTGGCCTTTAGAAGATAACAACCCCCCAGTTGAAAGCCAGCACAGAAACAGGGACCTCAGTTGTAAAATCGCATGGAACTTAATTCTGCCAACAATCTGAAAAAGTTTGGAAGTGGATTGATCTCTAGAGATCCCAGAAAGGAAAGCAGTCTTGCAGTATATTTAAATATACTGGAAAACATGAATTTAATAAGCATAAAATATTCCATCAGTATGGATGTACTAAAGTATCCTCCTTTGGTTGTTTCCAGTTTTTCTCTATTACGATTAATGCTGTGATAACTACCTTATATAAGACTTTACTACATTTCCGATTATTTCTTTAGAATAAATCTTGTAAGTAGTTCAAGTACTTAATCAAAGGATATGAAAATGTTCAAAGTTTTTCATACATAATGCCAAGTTATCCTTCAGGAAAGATTCTGCCACTTTATATATACCAGCAGTAGATGGGTATCTATTTGATAGCATCCTGTCTTTTAATGAGTATAATCTTTTAAAGCCGCTTTTCTAATTTTGATAACCAAAAATTAAATTTTAATTTGTATTTTTAAGGTTTTTGGTAATGTATAAATTTTCATGTTCATTGGGGGTGTGTGTGTGTGTGTGTGTGTGTGTGTGTGTGTGTGTGTGAATTGTTTGCATTTTCTTTTCCTGTTTTTCTTTGGAAGATCAAGGATTTAGCTCTTTATACACAGGGTGAAAAACACATTTTTATTCCTCCCATCAGCCATATGAAATAAAATTCTCAACTATGCAATTTAGAGCCTGCCTGTCTAATTTGTTTCCATTCTTTAACCCTGTTTTCCTGAATCTAAATAATAACCTTTAGCCCCAGGTATTAGCGTTTCCAGCTGCTACCCATTAGTCCAAGGTATATTGCAAAGAAAGGGAGCTGTAAGCATGCTTATCCCAAGGGAGCTACTGTCGGTAGCCCTTTTCTTAAAATATGAACTTTATTTATAAATAAAATGCAGACTATCTATATATAAAACATACACTTGCACAGACAAATGTGCATGCTTGTGTGTGCACACACAGACACACACACACACATCCCAGATCTCAGAGTAATTAAAAAGCAAATTTCATTTCTGATATGGTAGTGCCTGTTCTCTGAATATGAGATGTCCACCTCAGGAAAGCAATCACATTGCCTATGTTGGCTTGTTTTGCAGTTACCACCATATTATGTGGAAATTCTTACTTTAGATCCTCTAATATCAAGAAAATTCACCTCTGAGCAGACTTACTAACTGAATATTAAAATCAGAGTTGATATCCCAAAACATTTTCCCATCTGCTCTTCCCTCATTCTACCATCACCCCCTTCCATACACGAATACAAAAGTTCACTCATTCAACCATCTACTTCCTTACTCGGGCAGTCTCTGTATAGAATAAATGGAGCCTCATGAGGCCAATCACTTAAGAATAGGAAATCTACTCTCAGAGTAGATTATGGGGAGGTTATGGAGAGAATCTGTCGGTTCTTGCCTTCTCTTTTTCATAATTTGTCGTGGGGTGCGATGTCAGGTAGAAAGCAGGGAGAAGGTGCCAGGAAAGTACATGTGCAAACAAGTCAGTGCTGATGTTCGAGCATGATTTAAAAGCATTGTTTGTGATCAGAGGTGCTCTTGCTAATTATATACTTTTTATATAACGTATTTCCTCATGTCACCACAATTTGTTTTGTCGTCTTGTCATCTTTGGCTCTTAACATGTACTGTAAAAGGACTAGCAGTTTCTGGCCATAGACTAAAATTTATTTAAATCAATGATTCCAAACTTTAGGTTTATGACAGTGTATTACTTAATTTGTAACATGAATGCTTTCTTTAAAATTTAAAAATATTTATGCTTGTACTTATATTACACAATATTCCTTAAGTTAATCTTAGATATATGTCTATTTTTTTTTTTAATCAACTTGGGATCTTTTGTTTATGCTACTTTTCTAGCAGAAACACCACTGTTACTTGTAGTGACCCACCTATCAATACAACCAACTTCATACAAGCTAGTATACATAGTTTAATGCGTGTCAGGCACTGTGAGGCTACAAAATGTATACAACTTTCATATTCCGAATAAAAGTATAATACTGTGCTCTACTGTGGATGTGGCTGAGGCAGAGATCACAGACTTTTTTTTCTTAAACATACACAGATGCAACCCTCTAAGATTCCTTCTACTTAAACAAATTGTGGCAAATATATTCTAAGCACCTTTCGTATTTTAACTCATTTAATATTCATAGTTCTGTGGTGCTATACTATTACATCTATTTTGTAGTGCTATTACATCTATTTTATAAACAAGCATACTGAAGCCCAGGGACGTTAAGTAGTTGAATCTTCCTCATCCCCTTTATACCGTGTGTCTTTTTCTTTGCTGTGTTTTCCTGGGTGTGGTGCGCAGCCAGTCCAGCGGCAGAGCCAGGCAGTCCGGTTCAAGTCTGTCTTATTTACAATATGTCTCCCGACATAATTATTGGTTTCTCAATTCTTTATTAACCGAGTTCACTAAAAGTACTTTTACTTAAAAATAAAAAATTTTTAAAACCTGGTTTTTTTTTTTTTTAAGATTTTGTTTGACAGAGAGAGACACAGCGAGAGAGGGAACACAAGCAGGGGGAGTGGGAGAGGGAGAAGCAGGCTTCCCGCCAAGCAGGGAGCCCGATGCGGGGCTCGATCCCAGGACCCTGGGATCATGACCTGAGCCGAAGGCAGACAGACGCCTAACGACTGAGCCACCCCAAAAAACCTTTTCTAACTTTTACTAAAATATTTCCTTTTTAAGCAAAACATGATAATTGTTTTAAAATTGTTTTTCTCGGGGGCGCCTCAGTGGCTCAGTCGGTTGAGGGTCCGACTCTTGGTTTCGGCTCAGGTCATGATCCCCAGGTTGTAAGATCAAGTCCGGCCTCAGGCTCCACGCTCATCAGGGAGTCCGCTTGAGATTCTCTCTCTCTCTCTCTCCCTCTGCCCCTCCCCCCGCTTGCATGAGCATGCTCTAATATTTAAAATCTTTAAAAAGTTTTTCTTGAATACATTTGTTCAAAGACCTGCAACTTATAGCTAACTTATTAGAAAGTACTAGCACACCGAACAGTCCTTTGAGGTATCATCACTGACTTTGCAACACCTGTCGAAGGTGATACTTTCTCTTACTACGGGTAGTTTACTGTTGCATCCACACAGTAATGAGGAGTGTATCAATATTTGATTAATTTCCTCATCCCCCTCATCTCTACCAAGGTGTCACAGATTTCAAACATTGCCAATAATAATTACACTGATAAGGAGAAGATACTTGTAATTCTTTTACTTGTCAAAATAAGGGAGTTTAATATTTTATAAATTGAGTTTGCTGTTAAATCTTCAGAATTTTAAGATTTAGGTCTTCCAGTTTTCTGTATAATCACTTGCAGTAAATTACATTACAGGTGGTACACTTGCATCTAAATTCTAGAAGTAATTAGTGTGTAATCCTGGAAGGTCTATCAGGAAGCTGTTTCTATTTTTGGATATTGGACATTTTCTTTGTAGATTATGGTTATCAACATTTAAAATTTTATATTTAAATTTTAATTTTTAGATTAATAGAGTTTTGTGAAAGGTTACCATCTGAATGTTCCATATTTCTCTCATTGTTAGAGTAAACTACCTTGTGTTCTTTTGTCATTAATTTTTCGGTAGTATTTGCTAATGTATATTAAATGTGTATCAGTACACAAACACACCCTAGGGATGATATGTAAAAAATGGATGTCAGAGTTTGATCACAACAGGTAGTTTTTACAAAGATTTCCTCAAGATTTGTTAGAGTTGTAAAAGATGATTCCAAAAAGCATACTTGACCTTGTAAAATATGGCAGAGGAAAAAAAATACATGGTATAGAAATATTCTTCTCTAGAAGCAGAGAATTCCAAGTATCAGTGTGCTTACATAGATAATAACTTTTGTTGTCATAAGCTCATCTACACTGTCCCCACATCTTGGGCGTTAACCAGCTTTTAAATGTTCAGCAGATTCTAAGTGAATGTATTTCTGACATATCCTTTTCTGTGTTGTAGGCATAGCTCTGAGCCAACATCAGCTGTCAATTCTAGGATATAATTTAGGACTGTGACACACTCAATTTATGCTGTGAAAAGTTTTATAGAATTGTTTTCAGTATTAACGGTATTCCTATCTCCAAGACTATTGGACATTTCTGTAATTTCTATTCCACTTTAATTTTTGACATTGTTTTCTGTTTGTTATAACAAGGCAGTACTCCTCTCACAATTTTGGGCTAGATTCGATTCTTAGGAGATTTGTTCTTTCTTCCTTCCCACTTAAATTTATTGAAAACTACTGTTTTCATGGCTATTTGCCTCTAAAAGCAATTGTTCATAATTGAGGCAGATTTTCCCTTGTAGGAGTTCACAGCTGTGAAGAGAAAGTTCTCTTTCCCAGTGGGTTAATAAATAGGCTTTTGTGAGAATTTACTGGAATATTTTTCCTGATTAAAGAGTCAAAGACTAAGAGTCTGTTGTTCTTGGTGCTAATAGAACCAAAACACCTGCAGCTGAGCATTTACACTTTGGAAAGCAGAACTAACATAAGGCCTTCTTTTGCACAGTGAGTAGTTTGACAGCTACATTTTTTCTTAAAAAAATTAAAATGCAGACATGACCTTTGTTCCAAATTAGAGGTTTTAACAGTGAAAGCTCATGCAGTCAAAATAAAATTCATAGGCAGTATTTCCTACACAGGATAGCTTTGTGCATTCTGTTAATGGTGTAATGGATATTTAACTGGCAAATGTGAAGCCTTTTACTATGTCCACTGATTTATGTTAACACTCCCCTTTCTTGTTCCACTTTGCTTCTTAATCACCCTACTCATAAAAACCTTGCTTTGGAAAAATGCATCCCTGCTATAGGCAATCATTATTGTTAGTCCAACCCACGCCACTGTCCGCTTTCTTAATGGCATCCCAGTTTCCGTCCTAGTCTCGCTGTTAGGTGTACCGTGAGGGGAGCACGCATAAGAAGCTAACCTTCCTGGGTTTAAGTTCTGGCTCTGCCATAGTGGCATGGCCTTGAGTGAGCGATTTAGTTAGTCTCTGTGGCTTCAGTTTCCCTCTGTAAAATGGCGAATTATACCTCCTCATATGCTAGTTCTGAGGACTAGTTAACATTAGTTAATACCCCCAACACACATCTCCTCATTCTCTAGTCCCTTGCCCCATTTTCTTTTTTTTCTTTAAAGATTATTTATTTATTTATTTGAGAGAGAGAGAATGAGAGAGAGAGCACATGAGAGGGGGGAGGGTCAGAGGGAGGAGCAGACTCCCTGCAGAGCAGGGAGCCCGATGCGGGACTCGATCCCGGGACTCCAGGATCATGACCTGAGCCGAAGGCAGTCGCTTAACCAACTGAGCCACCCAGGCGCCCCTTTTCTTTTTTTTTTTTAAAGATTTTATTTATTTATTTGACAGAGACAGCGAGAGAGGGAACACAAGCAGGGGGAGTGGGAGAGGGAGAAGCAGGCTTCCTGCCGAGCAGGGAGCCCGATGTGGGACTCGATCCCAGGACCCTGGGATCATGACCTGAGCCGAAGGCAGACGCTTAACGACTGAGCCACCCAGGCACACCCCCCCCCCTTTTTTCTATAGCACTTCTCACCACTGGTCCTATATTGTTCAGTGTCTTTTTCTCCTATCAGGAATGTCAACTGAGCTCAGGGTTTTATTTTGGTCATTCCTGTAGTCCCACATCTAGACAAGCTGGCATACGTAGAGCTTAGTAAATACTTGCTTGAAGACTGTATAGATGCTGGGTTAAGAACCAATTTTTTCCTGACAACTATTGACTTTAACTTTATTATGCATTTTTTTTTTCTACAGTATGACCCTAACATTTCCTACTCCCGTATTTCCACTCAATCCAGATTTTCTAATTAGGCCACTACTCACTTTAGAAAGATAATTTGGGCTTCTAGAAATAAACATAAAATAAAAACTAAATTCTTACTTGCCAAAGCAAAGGATAAACAAGCACAATAAAAATGCTGATATTGTTTTCAAAGGCAAATATTAAGGACTGTGTAGTAAACTGAATTGTATACTTAGCCAGATTCTTTGAACTTTCAGGTTTTAATGTAACAAATCTACCTATAAAGATCTATGGAGATTTCAGATTAGATAATGAGTAGTACTTTATGACTAAAGCACATATACTTAGTTAAGATGAAGTTTTTTCTTTTCTCTTTTGCAGATTAATGACTGCAGAAAGTGAGATCAGATTTGTCCACAAAGAGATGGGTATAATACCAAGCTGGGGCGGTGCTGCCCGACTAGTTGAAATCATTGGCAGTAGGCAGGCTCTCAAAGTGTTAAGTGGGGCCCTCAAACTGGATTCAAAAAAAGCTTTAAACATAGGAATGGTTGAAGAGGTCTTGCAGTCTTCAGATGAAACTGCATGTCTGGGAGAGGCACAAGAGTGGCTAAAGCAGTTTATCAGAGGGCCACCGGAAGTAATTAGAGCTTTGAAAAGATCTGTTTCTTCAGGCAAAGAGCTTTGTTTAGAGGAAGCATTACAGACTGAAAAAGATCTTGTAGGAACAGTTTGGGGTGGGCCTGCAAATAAAGAGGCTATTGCTAGGAAAGGAAAATTTAATAAATAGTTTTAAAAAAATACAATGTGTAAAACTCCAATGATTAACCTTTATAAAAGTTAAATGCCAGAATTACTTTGAAGGCTACACTAGTATTTGTTTTTAATCGTTTTTTGAATAGCTGAACTCATCAAGTAATCTGAAACATTTAGCTAAAATATGTAACACTTTTGGCTTAAAAGTTATCAATCCCCACAGTAGTTCTTACCCTATAACCAACCCCAATTTTTAAAAGGAAAAACCTTTCCACAAAACCTATTCCTGGGTTGTTGTCCTACCTGGAAATAATTTACAAAAATAACTTAATGAAACTTGCACTAAAGAACAAAAATGGAGAGGGGTCACGGACAAGATAAGAAAAGCTATATGATCAGTCATTTTCTTCTGCTCTAAGCAGCTGGGGGGTAGATTTGGGGAGGGGGCGCCTGGCTGGGTCAGTTGGTATGGAGCATGTGATTCTTGATCTTGGGGTTGTGAGTTCAAGCCTCACACTGGATGTAGAGATTACTTAAAAATAAATGAAAAATAAAAAATCTTTAAAAAAGAATTGGTGAATGGCTCTTCTTTTATTCCTCCTTTATTTTTTTTATGGTTCTTTTGAATAAAAATGCTTCCCACCTTACCCTCCTACAAATTTGGTCTTATTTGATATTTTAATAGTTTTCTTTACTCTCTACTAAACAATAGACATCATGTGGAAAGTCTACTGACTCTACAAAATTGGCCATTATGTATGTGCCCTGGGATTTCCAAACTAGTAGTAAGTACTACTTTACTACTGTTTACATAGTAATAAAATTTAACTTTACATCAAAACTTCCTAAGATGTCAGAGGGACTCATGAAGCATCCTGTAACATTTGCATATGTTAAAGTAGCTAACCTTTCTTTTCCGTAACTAGCTATATTTTAAAAGTAGACAATACAAATGCACAACTCAAACTTTCATGATCATCTCTGTAATACAGGCTTTAAAAAACATGTAAGTCAAAGAATTAACTCCCAATTCTAACCTATCACAACAAGAGATAAAAGATTAATTTCAAAGTAGTGACAGTTTTTATTTGCTATGGTAACATTCAAGTCACATTTGAAAAACATACTAAAAATAACTTGCGTATGCTTCAACACGATCCTACTGTTTTGAATTAAAATATAGTAAGACAAACTCACATTACCATTTTTCAGATCCCAATTCTGGATTACCAGGTTAACCCAAGACTTCCTGTTTTGTCACAGATTCTACATTTTGTGTGAAGTAAATTTGTATCTACTAATGCTGTTTAAAATAAGCCTACCCATTTAATTCATTAGTATCAGACCACTAATGAAGACTGGCAATGAACATCTAAATACATATATGGTCTCTACTATTAGTTATGTAAGAAATTTAAGTCTCACGAGCTTTAGGTTGATTTCCATACATACTTATTCCATGCAATTGCTTGTAGATTCTGTTTAAATAGTCTCTGAAAAAAATCAAACTTTCCTGAGCAGGTGACTAAGCTGAATACAACCAGTTCAAACCGCTACCTGTTTATTTTGGCCACAAATGTCAAAATGTTTCCATCCTCTTTCCAGACTCAAACAACAGACAAATTATTTTTGATAAACTCTAGTATTTATTAAATTATAAATTCTGTAATCAAAAAGAAAAATGCAGATCAAGAGAAACCTCAAACTACAAGGACTAGACAGCAAAGCCTATGGGAAACACCATGAAGTATGTTACAGACAAGATTCTGAAACGTGAGTTATTAGCTGTTTTCTTCACATCTCCATTTCAGTAATTTACTATTTAATAGTTGTTATTCATCTATTTTAAAATCCCAGATTCACATCTATTCTCACATTAAGCTTCCTGTTCATACCAATACAAGACATCTCATAGGTGCCAAATTTTAGTAATGGTTTTACGTCAATCCATGCAGAAAAATAAGACACAATGCAAGAGTCAGATGAGGACTGTTAATGCACAGGTAATACACACACGCTGGCCAAAAGAACTGAACAAATTTAAAAAAACTGTAAAATAAACAGACATCAAGAAAACGGGGTTATTACTAAACAGCTCTCCACTATTAACGCCAAGTTCCTTATATTAAATAAATCCCTCAACAGAGACATGTTAGACATTTTAATTTACAGGTCTGTCTTCCCCCTTTTCCCACCCCAACTCCCAAAAATGCACTACCAGGGATGAGTATAATGTTATGTGGGCAGAAATTTACAGATAACCATTTTAACTTTGAGCATGAAGCTGAAGACTTTTTAATTTAAACTTCAGTTACTGTGCACTGTCCATCAGGCCTTCTAGATCTGACACCAGCATCCACTGTTCCACCCCCTGCTACTGATCGATCAGTTCCTGATCGATCTGATAGATCAGATACTGTCTGGTTTGCACTAGGAACCAAAAGTCTCTGTTGGGACAAGGAGTGTTGTGCAACAAGCGCAGATACATCCTCACCATCACTACTGGCGTCTGATTCGGTTTCTTCAATGGACGCGTCTGGTGCGGGTAGCCTGCCTGAAGATGGCGACTCATGATCTTCTTCTCCTTCCCCCCTATGACTCCTTTCAGCGATGCTGTCTCCACTGAGTTGCAAATGAGCAAAAGAGTCTTCCAGAGAAGTGCTTGCATCAGGGGATGGTGTTGCAGGGCTTGTTAACTGACCATCTACTGATGTCAGGGGCCTTACGGAAGACACTAGAGGCTGAACGGAAGAAGCTCCACTCTGTGCGGAGACACTGTCCGCTCCGTCAGCAGAGCTCTCGCGCGCGAGGTTTACAGTATTAGCATCACAGTCCAGCCTAAGTCCAGCTACTCCCTTCTTTGGTATATCTATTATATCCCGCTTAATCTTCCTGCGACGTCCATGTTCATTTCTCCTGTACTGAACCATATTTTCAAGATCAGCAACATACAGAAACCCGGCAATTAACATTTCAGTGCTCTTTTTACCTTTGGAAAAAGCATCTTCCAGCTCTCTACTAGTGCGCTCATCGTACTGCCACCACCCATTTCTTCCTTCATAATACCATGCATATTCACCATTTCCTCTACTCGCAGCCTTGAGTTCTTCTGGTGACAATAAGGTTGGCTTGTCAAGGAAATCTTCAGGAATTTCTTGTCGACAGAGGGCACATCGCTTTCCAAGCCATGAAGCTCCCTTTACACATAGATAGCAGAAAACATGCTTACAAGGCAGACTGACTGGGTGAACACATGTTTGCAGACAAATGGCACATTCAGGGACAGTTAGAGAAGGTGCAGTATTCGCACAGGACTCATTCGCTTTCCTGTTCGTAGGAAGCATGTTTATTGAATGATCAATTTCACCACAGCCAGCCATCCTAAGAAAATAAAATACATATAATATTAAAACTGTATTTCAATTCTTCCAATATCTTAATTCAACAACTCAGATTATTATTAAGCACCTATTATATATGTGGGCTACACAGTGGACTATGTGAAAGCAAAAATGAAAGCCCACCTGCTTATGGGGAAGATTGACATTAACAAAATAAACACACAGTTACACATAAATGTAACTGTGCAATTCTGATTAAGTGCTAGGAATGAGAAGTACATGGCAGTAAGCCCTAGATCTAGATTTCTAATGGTCTATTTTAGATTTCTTCCTGGATGTCTTGAGGGCGAAAAAACCCCCAAAAACTTAAGTCATAATCTGTTCTTTACTCCCTAAAAGCTACCCATCCCCAATGACACCATTATCCATCTGCTTTTTCAAGCCAGAAATCCATCACTGAAATAGCCCTTCTCCTAGTCCTTGTATCCAAAACATCAGCAGGTCTTATCAATTTTATCCTAAGTATCTCCTGAATCCACCTACATTTCTACCCTTCCCTAGCCACCAAATAAATGCTGTTTATTGAATTACTGAATATGCCTCTTAATTGGTCTAGCCTTACCTCTTGCTTCAAAAGTTGATTTCAGGATAAAGACTAGGATCTGTAAGCCCTGCAATGGTCCTGCCTCCCACCTCCCACACCAGCCTCATCTCTATCAGACTTCCCTTTCCTTTTTTTTTTTTTTTAAAGATTTTATCTATTTATTCGACAGAGACACAGCGAGAGAGGAACACAAGCAGGGGGAGTGGGAGAGGGAGAAGCAGGCTTCCCACCGAGCAGGGAGCCCGATGCGGGGCTCGATCCCAGGACTCTGGAATCATGACCTGAGCCGAAGGCAGACGCTTAACGACTGAGCCACCCAGAGGCCCCAAGACTTCCCTTTCCCTTGATCAGGCTTCCAACTACACTGGCCACTCCCTTCAATAGATTTTCTCTGTATGCACAGTTCTTCACTTCCTGCCTTCCACATCCCCCATGGACAAATTACTACCCATCTTATATCCCTCTTGAGAAAGTCTCCATGACTAGGTCAAATCACCCTTTTTTTTTTTTTTTTAATTTCTTACTACCATGTACTTCTCATTCCTAGCACTTATCAGAATTGCACTGTTACATTTATGTGTGTGTTTATTTTGTTAATGTCAGTCTTCCCCATAAACAGGTGGTCTTTGTAAAGGCAAGAAACAGATCACTTTGGCTCGTCTCCGTACTCTCATACAAGACCTGGCAGATAGAGAACAGTCAAATATTTAGCCAAGAAAATGAGTATGTTTTTCAATGAAGGATACAATATCATCAAAAAAATAGATGTTTTGAGTTTTATTTTACTTTTTTTTTTTAAAGATTTTATTTATTAATAAATAAAGGGGGAGAGAGCACACATAAGCAGGGGGAGCGGCAGGCAGACGGAGAAGCAGGCTCCTCACTGAGCAGGAGCCCGATGCAGGGCTCAATCCCACCTGAGCTGAAGGCAGACGCTTAACCGACTGAGCCACCCAGGCGTCCCTTTATTTTACTTTAAATAACATTAACCATCTGGTTGACAAACTTTTTTTTAAAGAATTTACTTACACATACCTTGGGAATGTATAAAAATTCTGTCAGTGCACTTAAAGATCAGCCCTGAAGCAGCGCACTGAAGACTATAATGATAAATTGCAGATGGCCAAGGGAGAAAGGATAACGTGAAACAAGGCAGCTATTATACAAGGAAACCACTGCTAGATAAGAAATCTAAAAACCTGAGTCTCCCTCTCCCTTACTCTTCTGCACCCAGTTAAATCCATAGTCTCTAAATTTCCTTACCTACAAATCAGAGTTCATAAAACTTAGGTGAGAATAGCCAAAATACACAAAAAACAAAACAAAACAAAAATACCAAATGAAAACACTTTGTAATCACTAAAGCTCCACAAATGTTACAATCAGGTAAAAACAAGGGAGAAATGACATGAATACTTAGGCTGCCCTAAAGCAGAAGAAAGGGAAAGAAACGGACAAAATTTGTCCAACTGGATGGTACCGGGCTTAAACACTCACATAAATTTGTTCATTTCTGCCTTATTGAGTCAGATGAACATTTATTAAAAAAGTACCATATCCATATACAATACTGAGTATTGATGGATCTAAAGATACACACCTACTTTGTTAAATAAGGAAACATACATGCAAGCAAAACAGATAATCACAATATGGCCTAATTCCTACAGTAATGTGTTAGGATACTTATTAAAAGTAATAGAGAGAGGTGAGAAGATGGACATAGGCTAAAAGTATGGGGTGCAGAGGAGGCTGGGGAGTGGAAGAAATTGAGGTCAGAGCCATATACATGGCCCTGAGTCAAATAAGCAATGGAACAGCAAGAGATGAAGGTATAAAGGTAATCAGAAGCCAAATCATTGAAGTCTTTTTGTGCCTGCTAAAGAAGCATCTGATTGGATTTTATCCCATAGTTATCAGGAAACCACAGATATTTTAAAAGGGCAGAAAATGATAAGAGGAAGTGCACCAGTGATACGTAAATAGAGGTAAAGGTCTCACAGAGATTGGCAACCATTAATTAACTGCTGCTTAAAATGAATGACAATCTCTCTGTACCAGTTGATTCTGCTGTTTTAAACAAGGAATATTTAGAATTTAATCACCATAAGGATTTCTGCCATTTTCTAAGATCAAGCATTCAAAAATGGGTACAGTGGTTACAAAAGGTGTAGTCAGTAAAAAATGTTTACTATGCTCATCAAAACTTGAAAAACAGTCCTCTTAGGTTTTCATCACAGTACATCCAGTCCAACAATCCATTCTCTTACTGCTTTTTTCTGTGTCCCTGGTTCCTCAATAGACAAGGTTCAAAATGATAGCAAGTTTTGGAAAAGATTGTACTTACCTAGAAAAGGAAGTGGCACAGTCTCAGTGGAAAGAACTGATCACTATGCAGTACTTGATTTCCAAACTCTTTTTCAACCTTTAATTCCATTTCCAATCAATTCCTTTACCAGAAACTCTAAGTCACACAAACTAGTAAAGTACAACTTTTTCCCAACCTATGGTAAGTTCTACCAGATATGAACTCTTCATATGTGTTAGGCACTTAGAGGAGCCTCAAAGTATTTTGACATAAACCCTTGCCTTCAAAGATCTTGTAACTTAACAATCTAAGTTATAAGTGAAAGTGCTTGCTTCTCAACTGGTTAATCAATGCTGTCCACCTATTTCCCCTAAAAAGAACTGGCCATGCACAATACATTTTGTTAGGCTCCCCACAACTCATACGTATTTCTTAAATACAAAATCTTAGTACTTCCCAAAGTGACGAGACAGAATACCACGTATTTCAATTTACATTTGGCAAAAGATTCAGAATACTTTTGTCTGCTCCAGGTAACTTTACACTGTGGTAACAGTCTATGTATATTTCAATTCTGCCAAATATAAGCAGCTCGTAGTATAGCTATAAGAGGTTTTTTAAAAATCACACAAGGTGCTTCTGGGTCTTCAGCTTTCTCATCAGTAAAATGGGGATAATTCACGTTCGAATAAAAATTATTGTAAAGTGAATAAATTAAATGAAAGCATAAACCTGTATATGAAAGCCTCTTTTAATTCATCAGGTTCTACTGCTACATTTATTTTTATTTTTATTTATCTATTTATTTTTTAAAAAGATTTTTTTTATTTGACAGAAACACAGCGAGAGAGGGAACACAAGCAGGGAGAGTGGGAGAGGGAGAAGCAGGCTTCCCGCTGAGCAGGGAGCCCGATGCGGGGCTTGATCCCTGGACCCTGGGATCATGACCTGAGCCAAAGGCAGACGCTTAACGACTGAGCCACCTAGGCGCCCCTTATTGCTACATTTAAACCTCAGTATAACTTTAACTTTTGGGAAGAAAAAGAACTAAATTAGCTACAGAATGGGAGAACAAGTAATATGTATATTCTTACATCCCTTCCCATTTAGGTTAAAGAAATTAGCTGTCAATGAAATTCTTGAAAATCTTTTGTATCTCCATATTTATTTAAAGCTCCAATTAAGAAGAAGAAAATAAGAAAGCCATCCATCCATTTTGATACTATTCATTAAGACAAAAATGGAGAAGGGCTAATGCTCATCAGTACTTGGGGAAAAGTAAAATCTAAGCTGAAAAAAGTCTGATGAATCACCTATACGTGGTTCTTAAGAGACATGAAAATGAATGAATGCCCAAATTAAACCTGTAGAGAGAACAGACAAAAGGCCCAAACACAGAACCTTGGATTATTTCAATATTTACTAATGAGGCAAAACAGTTTACAAAAGATGTTAAGAAGTGGTCAGAGAGAGATGGGGAATAAAGAGACACCACCACCAAAAAAGCTACAAGGAAGACATTTGAAAAAAAGAAGAGTCAAGCAAGGAGAGGACTTAACAAAAGTTAACTATTAAACTCATGAAAATTTCCACTTTTATAGTGAAATGTATGGTGTAAAAGTTGTGAGCACCACACATAATCAGCTATTTTGATTTCCCAGAGACTGTCAAGCCTCCTATCAGTAACTTTTTACTCAGTCAAGACAACTTTCTTTCCCTATTCCCCCAAAGACTATTACACAACTTCTCCAACTTCTTAGTTTAGAGATATCCTGGACTCCTTTATCATTAAAAAATTAGGTAAGAGTGAATCCTGAAATTTATCTTTATCTTCACTCTACCTTATCATCATTCCTCTTGGCTCAGGATGGGATAGTGCTAGTTGTTTTGAAAAGCTAACCCCTCAATTTCTGGTGTTAGTACCATCCCAATTCCCTCAAGATTTTGGTTAATATTCTCTATCCTTAAATTACAAAATCAACTACCATGCTTAGTCTAATGATCTCTTTCAGTCTCAATACATTTGATCCTATTGCACCGAATGATAATGACCACCAACTCTTTTTCTAAAACTTTATACTATGCATTTCCATGATGGTACTCTCTCCCAATTCTCCTTTCTATTATATTGTTTTCTCTTTTCTCTATTTGCCCTTAAGTACCAGTATTCTTCACAAAGGCCCTGTGTGTGGCCCTATTTTCACAGTACATTCTATGTCTAGACAATTTACTGAGTATTTCAGATTAATAAATATACCACTGTGACTCCCAAAATCTAATATCCAGAACCATGCCAACTGTGTTTCCAATATGTATTCAAAGAATTAACCTCAATATTCTCCAAGAACCCAAAATCAAACAGGACTAAAACCAAAATTATCTGCTCCTAAACCTTTATTCCTCTTTCCTTTTTTTTTGAACTTGCATAAAACTTAGAGCCATCCTCAATACTCCCTTATTCCTTGGCCATTTCTCTTTTCTGGACAGAAACTTCTTTAGAATGTGTCCCCTTCATTCCCAAAGCCTGTGATCCCAATTCTGGCTTCTTGGACACACTCTTGTACTAACCTCCTAAGTGGCCTCCCTGACTTCAGTCCTTTCTCCTCCTCATCCCTTTTTCTCGGTTCATGTCTAATTAGTCTTCTCTCCAAGCTTCAATGGTTTTCTACTGCCTACATTATCTAATCCAAATTCCTAAGCACTGGCTTCCAAGTATATTGATATAGCCTTTAGAGTAAAACAGACTTAGCTAAAATCCTGGCTCCATCATTTATTCTCACTACACTGACCTAGAAGAGCATTTCCCAGATTTCTCCAAAAGTAAGAATCAGCTGATGTGCTCCACCCTGGAAATTTGCACGTATCTGTGTTACAGTCTAAAAAATCTGTGTTTTTAACAAGTGCCCCATGGGATTATTCTCAGAGAAAATTGGGAAACACTGACCTCGGGCAAATGACTTCATCTCTCTAATTCTGTTTCTTCACCAGTAAATGAGCTAACTACCATTTTTCACAGTGATTAATTTCAATAATCCAAATAAAATACCCAGTAAGTACCTAGCAATACAGCAAGTACTGAATATTCACTCCCTTTACCAACTCTGAAGTCTCTTTCTCCCTACCCCACTTTGCTACATGGGACTGCTCCCTGACTCCCCTAAGATGCCCCGATATTTAGGCAACTGTGCCCCTCACTCATTACCTTGCCTTAAAAAATACTTCCTAATTTTCTCAACTTAGTAAAATTCTATTTATTCTTTAAGATCAAGCTAAAAGTTCTTCTCACTCTGAACCTTCAGATGGACTAAATCCTTTCAGTTCCAAAAGCATCTTATTGTTACCTCAATATGGCATTTCTTCCACTGTTTAATTAATAATTAATTATGTTTCACTTCCTAGACCATAGTCTAGTCCCTTGATGGCCAGCACCTATAATATTTAACCTACATATATATATACACATGGTTTTTTAAATATGGTTTTTGAAACTCTCTCTCTATATATAGAGAGAGACTTTATACATATAACGGCAAATAACATATGAACAAGATTAAATAAAAGATATATTTGCCCCAATTTTAAAGAAAAATACATATAGGTTTCATTTTACTTTTATCAAATTCTCAACACTAAGAATGATATTGCCATACTTTTAGTATATAATTAAAGCATCATATTGAAAAGAAGATAGCAATAGTTACATGTCAAACTGAGAGAACATGTGAAATAGTATCTACAGGTTGGATAATGTTCATATTAACTTGGAAGAATACGGTGTTCATCATGTAAAAATATCTATCAAGAATAGAATGATGTTCAAAATGGGCACAATCATGGTAATTAGTATTTTAAAGCATATTTCACAAAAACTAAATGATAGGAAAACACAACTGGTAAAACTGGGGGCTAGAGTGAATTCAGTATTAATTAAAATGCAATATACTAAATTTTTAAAAAATCAATTAATCTAGGGGCGCCTGGGTGGTGCAGCTGGTTAAGTGTCTGACTCTTGGTTTCAGCTCAGGCCATGAGATCAAGCCCCACGTCAGGCTCTGAACTCAGCGCAGAGTCTGCTTAGGATTCTCTCTCTCCCTCTTTCTCTGCCCTTCCCTCCCCTGCACACTCTCTAAATAGTTCTTTATTTTAAAAAATCAATTAATTTAAAAAACTTTAATTTAGTGAAACAAGCTTTTAATAATAAGTGTTTTTAAGTCCCATTAAGTCCCTCTTATTTATAAAAGGTGATATTGTCTGCCTAGTTTGGTTTTTAAGTAAGTTACTATGTAAAGAGAAAGGAGAACCTAGAAGATCTAAAAATCTTTCCAGTTTTTTACCCTACGAGAAAATTCTTCTGTCTTCAGTTTCACTGACTTTTATAGAAATTTTTCCTGGTAAGATTTCTGGATATCTACGTTAACAGTAATTTCACATGAATAAAATTACTAACTCAATAAAACATCTAAAACAATACAAAATGCTCATTTTGTGTAATTAGATCTAAATAAAACATATAACTTGGCTTACTGCATTTTATCAGTTCATTTAATTTACTGCATCTTTGGGACAAACCATGATGCCATACTTACATTTCTATTACAAATCCCACAGTTGTCTGGCACAAAAACAAAAGCTCATCTTCACCGGCAGTCAAACAGTGTGTGGTATTTTGTCTTCCACTGCTGTTTCATTCTGTGCTGCAAAAGAAGTTATTTCATCAACTTCTATACAGACTAATTAAGATCAATAAAATTAGTTATGTATGACCCTTTAACAAAATTCAGTGGCAAATTTAGGTTAGAAATCACAAAATTTCAAGACAAGGATACCTGCTTTCACCACAGTACTGGAAGTGCTAGCTAGAGCAATTAGACTAGAAAAAGATATGAAAGTCATACAAAAAGGTAAGGAAGAAGTAAAACTATCTCTATTTTCTATATAGAAAATCCCAAGAATCCCCAAGAAAACTACTAGGGGTAATAAATTCAGCAAAGTTGCAGGTTACAAGCTCAATGTACAAATCAGCTGTGTTTCTACATCTAACAGTCAATAATCCAAAAAGGCAATCAAGAAAGCATTTTAGAGAATGCTCAAAAATTTCATTTATAATAGCATCTAAAAGAATAAAATGCCTAGGAATCAACTTAACCAAGGAGGGGAAAGACTTGTACACTGAAAACTATAAAACACTGCAGAGGCGCCTGGGTGGCTCAGTTGGTTAAGCGACTGCCTTCGGCTCAGGTCATGTTCCTGGAGTCCCGGGATCGAGTCCCACGTCGGGCTCCCTGCTCAGCAGGGAGTCTGCCTCTCTCTCTGACCCTCCCCCCTCTCATGCTCTCTATATCATTCTCTCTCTCAAATAAGTAAATTCTTTAAAAAAAAAAAAAAAAACACTGCAGAAAGAAATTAAAGGAGAGCTAATTAAATGGAAAGACAACTGTTCATGGATTGGAAGACTGAAGATGACAATACTAAACAAAATGATCTATAGATTGAACATAATCCGTAGGCAAATTCCAACAGCCTTTTTTGCAGAAATGGAAAAGCCAATCCTCAAATTCGTATGAAACTGTGAAGGGCCTAAAATAATCCAAAACAATCTTGAAAAAGAACAAAGCTGAAGAACTCACACTTCGCGATTTCAAAATTTACTCAAAATTTACTACAAAGCTACAGTAATCAAGTCAGTGTGGTATTGGTACAAGAATAGGCGAATACACCAAAAGAAGAGACAGTCCAGAAATAAACCCTTACTTGTAGAGCCAACTGATTTTTTTTTTTAAAGATTTTATTTATTTATTTGAGAGAGAGAGAATGAGAGAGAGCACATGAGAGGGGGGAGGGTCAGAGGGAGAAGCAGACTCCCTGCCGAGCAGGGAGCCCGATGCGGGACTCGATCCCGGGACTCCAGGATCATGACCTGAGCCGAAGGCAGTCGCTTAACCAACTGAGCCACCCAAGCACCCGCCAACTGATTTTTAAAAAGGGGTGCCAAGTCCATCCAATGGGAGAAAGTATATTCTCTTCAACAAATGCTAGGACAAGTGAACTGCCACATGCAAAAGAATGAAGTTGGACCCCTACTTCACACCACATACAAAAACTAACTCAAGACAGACCAACAAACCTAAAAAGAGGTAAAACCATACAACCCTTAGAAGAAAACAGAGGGGTTTATCTCTATGATGTTGGGTTTGGCAATGGATTCCTAGATATGAATGACACCAAAAGAAAAAAACAAATTGTGGACTTCATCAAAATTAAAACTTCTGGGCATCAAAGGACATTGTCAAGCAAGTTAAACGTCAAAATGGGAGAGAATCTTTATAAATCATATACAGATAAGGGTTTAATATCCACAATACATAAAAGAATGCCTACAACAACAAAAGGACAAAAAAGTTTTTTTGAATGGACAAAAGACTTGAGTAGATACTTCTTCGAAGATGTAGAAATTGACATTAAACACATGAAAAGATGCTCAACATTATTAGTTATCAGGGAAATGTAAATCAAAACCACAAGAATTGCCGCTTCACATTTATTAGGATGGCTATAATTTAAAAAAAAAAAAGGAAAATAATAAGCATTGGCGAGAATGTGGAAAAACTGGAACCCTTGTACACTGTCGATGGGAATGAAAGATAGTCCAGCCACTGTGAAGTATGGTGGTTCCTCAAAAAAACTAAACAGAATTACCATATAATCCATCAATTCCACTCCCAGGTATATACCCAAAAGAATTAAAACAGGGACGTAAACAGATACTTGTACACCAATGTTCTTTGCAGAATTATTCACAAAAGTCAAAAGGTAGACACAACCAAGCGCCCATCAGAAGAATGGAGAAACAAAATGTGGTATACAAATACAATGGAATATTATACAGCCATAGAAAGAAAGGAAATTCTGATACACACTATAACATGGATGAGCCTTGAAAGTATTACGCTAAGTGAGATACGCCAGACACAAAAGGAAAATTTTGTGATTCCACTTAAATGAAATATTGAAAACAGGCATATTCAGAGACAGAAAGTAGATAAGTTACCAGGGGCTAAGGAGAGGAGCAAACAGTTATTGCTTAAAGGATACAGAATTTCTGTTTAAAATGATGAAGTTGTGGGGCGCCTGGGTGGCTCAGTTGGTTAAGCAACTGCCTTCGGCTCAGGTCATGATCCTGGAGTCCCGGGATCAAGTCCCGCATCGGGCTCCCTGCTCGGCAGGGAGTCTGCTTCTCCCTCTGACCCTCCCCCCTCTCATGCTCTCTATCTCATTCTCTCTCAAATGAATAAATAAAATCTTTTAAAAAATTAAAAAATAAATAAAATGATGAAGTTGTGGAAATAAATAGTGGAGATGGTTGCATGACATTGTAAAAGTAATTAATGACACTGAATTGTACATTTAAAATGGTTAAAATGGTGAATTTTATGTTATTTATATTTTACCACAATAAAAATGTTTTTAAAGTGAAAAATGTTTTTAAAGTTAATACATCTATATGGACAAATTAGCCCATATGGAATATAGCCATTGCCTTTCTAAAAGGAAGTAGTGTGCGCAAAGACGAGGCCATCACATTAACTAGAACCTCCTGCTATTTTTATGTATATCCAAGTTTACAATCATTAAGCCAAACTTCTCTCAAGATGCCTCTTATTCAGGGAATCCAGAAGCACTAACCAAAACATCATTTCAGCCATTAATCCTTTCTCTTTTAGTATTCTCTCCTGCCACTTCAGGATGCCCAGTCAGTGCAGGAGGCACATCATACTACACAGAACTCAGAATCAAGCAAACATGATGACTAAAGAGATCGTAAGCCTCACAGTAACAGCAAGAGGGAAGACTTTCTTTGGAGGCTCATCACTGACTATATAATCCCCTACATCTCTTCTAGATTAACCTTTAAGGCAGTGACTTAATTTTCACTGTTCATCATCCTCTCCATCCTAACTCCTGACACATCACTATGAGCCAATTTAAATATGACCCATCCCAACTCCTAACTCTGAGGTTCTTAAAACTTGCCCCAATGAGGCTGCTTATTAGAGATATACATTCTCAGGCCCTAACCCTGGAGATTCTAGGCCAGTGGACGTGGATGGCGTGTAAGCCCAGGAATCTCACCTTAAGTGAAAGCGATGCAGGTAATCCATCGAATCCACTTTGAGAAAAACTGTATGTTTTCAATTCCTAAAATCCTAAATTCAGTGAACTTTCACCTCCCTGTCCATCCAGCAACAAAATATGATGTATACATTTGGAACTAGAAGCCACCTAGAGTGCCGCCTCTCTAAAATCTTAATCTCACTCTTAGATTACAAGCTCTGGTCCTTCCAGCTAATTTACTCATTCCCACATCTACTCTTTATTTCACAAGGATCTCTAGTTTCTTGACAGCCTCCTTTTCTTTAGTCAGTTCCCAGTCTCATTTCTTTTCCTGCCCAATCTGGAGCCCAACCATTTTAACTTCTTTCTTAACAGAAGATTTGGCTTTCACATCTGTCTCTCATTTACACATTCTCCACAAACCCCCATGTCTGCATGAATCTTACAAGTGACATCTCAGCTTCCATGCTTTAATCAAGGAATGCAGATGGAAAAAAACAAAATCCTTTTTCTCATCTCCTCTCCAACCAAATTCTGTCAACTTTTACCCCTAACACCTTTGGAATCTATACTCTACTCTCCTGCCATTGCTAGTGTCCTAGTTTAGACATACATCACCTCTCACCTGAACTATGGTCCAGTCTATCCTGCTTCAGCAACACCCCTCAAATTTATTCACTAAGTCTCTGAGTGATACACTAAAAGGCAAAATGGGCCTCCCATATGCAAAGCCCCATACTGGTTCTCTAGCCCATACAATAAAGGCAAAGCTCCTAAGGACAGCATTCAAAGGCTTTAATGACCTGAAACCTAAATCTCTCTCTAGTCTTATCTCCTACCACGACTCTCACAGATTCATAACCTAGTTATACCAAATTATTCATACTTCTCTAAACCTCTCTTTATAGTTCTATACTTCCTCCTCCTGGTATAATCCATCTCTTTTACAGCTTATGAATGCTACCATACTACTACTTTCTCTACTTCCCCAAAATTGTTCCCTCCACTATATATTGTACATTCTTCTATTACTGAAGTTATCCCATACACTGAAATTATTGATTTGCTTTTGACTGTTCTATTAAACCATCAACCTCCTGAAGATACAGACTGTCTTTTATCTGTAAGTGGCTAGTAAACTGCCAGTTTTTGCTGACTTGAAGTGTTACTTCTTGGATGAAGGAAAAACTTCCTAAAGTAACTGTTGAGAAAAATACTGAAATAAATTCATTCACATAACACATTTGAGTTCTGTGAACAAGGCACCCAGCCATGAAAGATATAAAGATACCCAAGTTCTAATAATTTCTTTAAAGAGCTTAAAATATAACAGAGGGAAGTTAATACATTTACAAATGTAAGATTCAAGCCATCTTTATATCTTTTGACAAGCTCATCATTTACCTAAGGTTTTGTTCGCTGGCAATGAATTCTCCAGAATGCAGATAAAAAAACAAGAATAAAACCAGTTTTAGTAACTCTTGCAAGATACAGTGACTTTTCCAATTCCTATATACCATGGTTAATTTTCAAAGTGGACTCTAAATGGATAATTATGGTTGGGGGGAGGAAAATAAACTAAAATCTATGTAGTATTCTAGATCCTAGCTATGCAAACTGTGTCCCCAACCAACTAAATCAGCATTTACCTGGGAGTCCCTTACAAATGACAAATCTGGAGCCCCATTCCACCGACAGAATCAGATCTCCAGGTGGTTCATATGCGTACCAAAAAGTTCATGAAGCTCCTGATAACCTCAAACACCCTGTGAGATATGACTACACCCATTTTATAAATGAGGAAACCCAAACCCAAAGGATTTAATCCCAAATCACAAAGCTATCAATATTGGGAGATGGGATTCAAACCCAAGTGTTTCTTTAAAAAAATCTTTTCTTCAGTGTACTGTATCTCAGAGAAAAGGTCTAGAATAGCATCATCAAACAGAAATATGATGCAAGCCACATTTATAATTTCAAATTTTCTATTAGCCACATTAAGAATAAAAGGAAACAGGTAAAACTAATTTAAATATTTTATTTAACCCCAAATATTTAAAACATTACCATTTCCAAATGTATTTAATATAAAGAAATTATTAATGTGATATTTTATATTCTCGTGTGTGTGTATAGTCTTTGAAATTTGGTGTGTATTTTACACATATAGCACAACTCAGTTCAGACTAGCCACATATCAAGTGCTCAACAGCTCTATGTGGCTAGTGGCTACCATACTGGACAATGCTGGTTTAGAATGTCTTGCATATTAACAATTTTTAAAAATACAAAACTGGCAATTTACTACCAGGATTGTTGAATAAAAAAAATGAACTTCATGTTACTTTATCCACACCTGTGCTGGCACAGATTAAAAAGAAAACTGCATGTTGTGTTGTAATCAAAATTGACTGGTTTCAGTGATACCAATTCTGCCAAACTGATCCATCCACTATAACCTCTGACAATTATAAAGCCAAGTGGGCACAACACAGGGAATAGCATGTAATATTCAAAATGGTCATATGTAATAGTCCTCAGAAAATTTCTACATTTGAAACCAAAGATTTTTTTTAAATGAGGGGAAAGGGAGGCTTTTACTTTCATCCAAAGATGTAAGACAAAATTTCTAACTATAAGCCAGAATTAATTTGACAAACCATAAATAATTCAAACATACGTAATTCTCACTTCAATGATTTATAAATTATATACCAAACTAAAATTTACCACAGTATTTTGATACGCAAATACCAATTAGTGAATGGGTTAAGGTTCTTTCTTTAGGTGAAAATTTATACAGAAAAGAACTATTAGGAAGGTAACATAAAAAGAGAAAAGATTTGAAACTACATTACATATTTCTGCCTCTTAACAATTCTGGGGGAAAAAGGTGACAGACTAAATTTCAAAATATATAAAAGAGTTTAGAGACTGTCAGTGATTTTAAGTCATTTATCCACTCAACCGATTAGTAAATAAGTATAACTGAAAATGAAGTAATACCGTACTATTTATAATTTGTGACCACGCAACAAATTCACACTTTTATTATTTGCATATGCTGTTATCTTCTCTGAAAATACCTAGACTTAATTACAATTCCACTTTTCAAGTCAGTCACAAAGTCAAAAAACCATCATTTTTTTCCACATAATAGATTCAAATAAATGATTATCTTTTTAAAAGAACTAATCAAAGAAAAAGATAAGTATATAACAGTTAAAATTTCAAATTATAAAGATTTGAAGACTTCCTATATTTTTCCAATTACGTCATGACAGCTGTTTAATAGTTTTTACTTTTTTTTAATTCAAAATACACAAAACAGGAAATGTTCTATATAAAAGCTAGCAGTGACAGAAAAGAAAAATACTTCAAACTTTCCAACTTGTGGTATACAAACTCAAAAATAAAAAAAATTAAAAAAAAGGAAAAAGCAAAGACCAGCGAAAGAATAGAGAGACAGGGTGTAATTTAGCAGATACATCTTAATATTTCTTGAGGAAGAGTCTCAAATTGAGAGAGGTAACTAAATGCCCTAATGTTTCCATTTTTAGCTCTCCCTCTCATCCCCTGCTAAAACTCAAGCTTACAGAAAGCACAGGTCATCCTGGGAAACAAAAGTCTTCAGTCAAACCTCATTTCAACTAAATGGGGCCAATACTTAACACTACACTATTTTATTTTACTTTTTATTTTTTTAAGTAGGCTCCACGCCCAGCATGGAGCCCAAAATGGAGCTTGAACTCAGGACCCTAAGATCAAGATCTGAGTTGAGATCAGATGTTGGACACTTAACCAACTGAGCTGCCCAGGAGCCCCAACACTATACTATCTTAAAGAATTACTTCCCTTATTGTTTAGTACTTCCCTTAAACCTTAAAAAACCTTAAAAAAACTGTATGGCAATCTATGACCTTCACAATCTTCATATTCAAGCATTAAACCTTTACATCCCCCCACCAACTGTGGCCTTTGCATTTTATTTTAAACAAAACATGAAATGTGAACATGAACAAATACTTTTAATCTTATCAAACAGAAGTTTCAGAGCCTGCAGCCATTTTGTAAATGAGAAAGGCTCTATTACTAATATGTGTGACCCTGGTCAAGTCATAACTCCCGTGTTACTTCACCCTATTCAATATTTCTGTAATTCTAAATACTTTAACACGAATTTAACAACAGGTTTTATTTAACTAATCCAAAAGTTAATAAGCCATAAACACTAAATATTCCATAAATAGGCACAGGTGGCTGTAGAAGAATGTTAATAAAATGGTTTCCATACCCACAAAGATTATTCCTAATCCAACCTGTTGTTTCACAAATTCATGTTCCTTAGGCACAATCAAGAACCAGGTACGGGAATGGAATAAATGGTCAGCACCCTCTGTTACTGACGCTGGAAAAAAAAAAAACATTGAAATACCAGCTGACTGTGTCAGGCATTTCATGCTAGTAAATGGCTAATACATAAAATAATATTCTCTAAGCAGACTAATACTGTGAAAAGAAAAGACTGAATACTTTTTCTTCTATACTAAGTCAAAAAATCATTTCTGGATCCTTTAAAAAAAAAATCTGTCCTATTCTTCTAACAATTCAAATTGGTGGAAACTGTAACAAAATACTTTACCAGTTGACACGTGTCTCCTAAAAGAAAAAAGCCATTTCCTTTTTTGACCTCCTGTCTGATGACTAGCTATTTGGAAAAACAGTTTCCCTGATGACCAAGTTTTTAACAACCAGTAAGTAACAAAAACCTTCAAATATTTACCATTATTTTTATTTTGCCCAGAACTTACATTGGCCCATTTAAAACACAAATTCTAAATCAAAGAGTGGGCTTAACAAAATATTCCAATTTAAGATACACAAGGCTAAAACAAACACATCCAAAAATCTATTTCTAGTGTAGCTTTCACTTTTCTGGTTTTCTCTTTAAAAGAGATTTACTTGACCTATTTTCATGTGTTTTTAGAGCACTCAGACACTCAAGACAAACAGTATTTGCTGGTCATGAAAACAGCAGAGTCAACATCATAAATCCTGTTATTTCTGTGGGTCATTTTCTTCATGTGTCCTATATTCCACGTCTTTTTAAGAGTCTAAACATAGATTCATTTGTTAAAAAGACAAAAAGTCTTAAGTCCTCCAATTTCTGTAATTATACACTGCTTTCAATGCCAATGTTATACTTTCACATCCTATTTAAAAGTACACACACTGGAGGGGAGGGAGTGCGCCCAAGGACCTGAAATGTCAAACTATAAAGACAACGCTATTTGTCATTTCTTGGCGTTCTTCTTCCCTCAATTCCACAGTTTCAGTATTACAAAACTATTACTAAAAATATTAAACAAAATGTAAGTACTTTCGAAACTTGAAAAGTGTCACTAAACTGGCACTTAGGGAAGAAAAATAAAAACATATACGAAATGGTTAACAAGAGAAGGCTCTAGTTGTCAAAATGTGTGTGTAAACTCAAAACAACTTTGCAGCCTTCTCTAGACTCCTACAGAAAATAAAACAGCGACAACAATGGAAGACCCGTACGTACTCTTTTAGATGGGATGGGTGCGGGGGGGGGGGGGGGGGGGTGCGGGGGGGGGGTGGGGGGCGAGGTAGGGAGAGAACTCTACTCAGCTACCAGAACAAAGCAACAGCCCCCGCTTTTAAGATGCACTGAGGTGTGGTGTTTTGTTTTTTGGCTCAACGGGTATCAAGAGGTCTCTTAATTGTTCCGATGATTTACTAATCATCAAAACCACGACAATACGCAGCGCTGGGCTTAACCAGGGCAAGGTGGAGGGACTGCTCTTCCTATTAGGCAAGACCCAGACTCTGAGCAGAGGAGGAGGGAGAGGGAAGAGAAGGCAGCAGCCAAAGACACTCCCGGAAAAAGACAAAATGAAGGGACTGTACGCCCTGGCTGCGATCTGACCCAAGGCCCGGGCAGAGGCCTCCACACGGGAAGACAGGGACAGGATACCCTTCAAACCATAGCCGCCCCTAAATCTTGAGGCCGGAAGTTCCCCGAGTAGAGGCCTGACCCCACCGACAAGGGGAGAGGAGAGGGACCTGGTTGCCACCAAAGGCAGAGACGAGGACCCCGGCGGAAGAGGCTGCGCAGTAATGGCCGCTGCTCCGCCTCTCGCACCCCGACCGTGACCAGCTCCGGGCCGTCGCCCAGGGCAGGGGCTGCGGCGGCCGCGGACAACGCAGCGCCCATCACAGTCTTCTTGCCTGCGACAACAGCCAAGGTGGGGGCGGAGGGAAGGGCTGAACTGCCCTATCCCGCCTGGGCGCAGAGAGCCGCGGCCGCGCCAGCCCAAGGGCGTCCACCTACGTACCGGCCCCTGACCCCGCCGCCGCCCCTCTCAGGCCCGGAGCGCAGGGCCCACCCGAAGCGCGTCGCGGCTGGAGGTGACACCGCGAGCCATCACGCCTTTCCCTGGGTTAGGATGTCGCAGTGGCTGCCTCTGACCCTTCCCCGCGAAAACCTCACCCCGACTCCCACCTCTCTAGCCACAGCCGCGGCCGTCTCGCAGCCTTTCCTCTTCGGCCTGAGAGCCCGCAGCGGCCGGGAACGCGCGCGGCGGTCACATGACCGCCCGTCGCGTCGCGGGGGGGCGGGGCCGCGCGGGGCGGAAGTAGAGCCTTGTACTGGGGCTCTCGCGCCAGCCCCTCCGCTCTGTTTCCTCGCGACCCAGTCCTCAGGCGAGCGGTTGGGTACTTACTTTTTCCTGCCTTTGGAGACCTGCAGTTTCTCCCTGGATCGTTCTAACTGCTTTGTATTATGCTTTACTTGTAATTAGGTGCCGAAGATTGAAAGAGTGCAGGTCCACTAGAGAGAGATTTGGGGCAAAGGAAGTAAGACGCGTGTAGAACCAGCAGGTGGTGCTGCTCAGAAGCCCCGCTTCGAGACTCAAGAGAAGCCTTTGGGCGCCTAGCTGGATTTTGGGGTGCAGAGGCCTTGGCAGAGTACTGCTTGTTCTCTTAACAACCACAACAAAGGGGTCCTTTGAGAGTTCTATCTAGTTTATTCACCGTCCGAAGGGTTGAGCAATTTAATCGGAAAAAAATAGATCTTAATTTCCTTTTGGACCCATTTTTCTTAGACTAGAGCATAGGAAGCTGAAGAAGAGATCAATCAGCAGAAGAATCTAAAACTAAAGGAATGGCTTATCTTGTTGCATTCGTGTGGTTTAAACGCCAAAACCTTGGCAGTATCCTCCATTACATTTTAGCATATACATTGTCTTTCTTGGAACTGACTATATTTTCTCAATTTATAGTAAAATGAGGAGGGTGGAATAGCATGCGTTTTGTCTTTAAAAGAGTATATATTCCAACATTCCATGGCAGTATCTTACTTTCAGTACTGTTGCATTTTGAAATGTCATAAGCTGTTCACTTAAGGCTGGAAATTTTTAGTGTCCATATATATAGACATGTTTACATTTTCTTTTATTCTTCTGAAATCAATATATTTCAAGGTTCTTATATATATCAATATATAACTAGCTCTTGAAGAGTGCCATCTAGCTCAATGATGCTTAATGTAAGCAAAACAAGATTTTTTTACAACTTCTCTAAGTGTAATAATGTTGAAGAGTATGTTCTCCAGCTTTAAGCTTAATCCTGTCTTTATGTTCTCCTTAGCCATCCAGTCTTACCCCTCTATCCTACACACCCCATGAACAAATAATACTAAAAATTTGATATATACTTGAAGATGCCAGCTTTAAGATATAATATTAATATTAACTAACTGAATGCCATCATTCTAAGTGCTTTACACATATTAGCTCACAATAAACTCTAAGGTAGGTACTATTGTTATTCCCATTTTACAAAAACAGACACAGCTAGGATTTGAATCTAGGCAGGGACTGTAGGAGTTCACCTAATTCAATGCTTATTTTATCAAGTAAGAAATAGATATAACAAGGTTAAATGACTCACTTAAAGACTTTGTTGTTCAAGATAGAATGGGGTCAGAACACAAGCATGTTTATTGATCCATAAATGCTTTTAGTTTAGAAAAAGTTATTCACGAGTCTTGCATTGCTCTATGTGTATATTTAGAACAGTTTCTGCAAATAAATATAATTGATACTCTATCCGTCTACACAGAAGAAAAGAATTAACAAGAATCTCACTACAATGCCCTTTCAGGCTTCAAATTGTCTCTCAGCCACACCTATAATCTTTTATCAGTGAAAAGCTCCATCTTTCCATATCCAAATCCATCTTTAATTCCTCTTTCTCTTATGTCCCTTATCCACTTTGCAAATAATCTGTTGATTTTTCCTTCAAAACACATTCAGAAAATGGCTACTTACCACTTCTACACAACCTACATCATCTCTTGTTTGGATTATTGCAGTAGCCCAGGGACTGGTTTTCTTGCTTCTGTTCTTGCTTTCCTTTGAGTCTATTCTCAACACAGAGGACAAAGTAAACTTACTAAAAGAAAGTCAGATCATACCACTCCTCTCTCTGTTCAGAGTCTCTCATGGCCTCCTAAAACAAAGTAAAAACAAAAGTCTTTAAACAGGTACTGTGTTTATACTTAATGGAGTTATTATTTTTTTTAGTTTTTTTTTTTTTTATTTTAGAGAGAGGGAGCATGAGTGGGGGAGGGGTGGAAGGTAAGGGAGAGAAGCAGACTCTCCGCTGAGTGCAGAGCCCAATGCAGGGCTCAATCTCAGGACCCTAAGAGCATGCCCTGAGCTGAAATCAAGAGTCAGATGCTTAATCAACTGAGCCACCCAGGCACCCCAATGGGGTTATTTTTATTTTATTTTTTTTTTAAGATTTTATTTATTTGACAGAGACACAGCGAGAGAGGGAACACGAGCAGGGGGAGTAGGAGAGGGAGAAGCAGGCTTCCCGCTGAGCAGGGAGCCTGATGTGGCCCTTGATCCTAGGACCCTGGGATCATGACCTGAGCTGAAGGCAGACGCTTAACGACTGAGCTACCCAGGCGCCCGTGGGGTTATTTTTAAATGAATAAATATTTTAAATAGTGCTCAGTTTTACTTTCTGATGAACATATATAAACAGCAGTTAATTTTGAGTCTTCTATAATTTTAAAGAGTATAAAGGGATCCTAAGACCAAAAAGTTTGAGAACACTGGCCTTAGCCAATTTCATGTACCCACTCTAAGCTAGGTTTCTTCCTGCATGCCCGCAATCATCTGATAAGTGTTATCAGTTGTGTGGACACAACTTTCTCATATGTCTGGAAACAGGAGAAACCAGATTCAGAAATGCACCTGTCATTATAGCTAGCAGATGAATACAAATAAAGCCAAGGGGAAGTTTTGAAATGCAAACTTTTCCATCTCAATTGAAGATTTTGTTCCAAGAGCTAATACATAGCTTGGTCTCTGTCCTAACATTTGATGTCATTCTACTTACAGTAATCAAATAAAATATACTTTCCCAGTAGAATTCCCTTGTAAGTAATAGTATAGTAGACAGTTTTACTTGTGTTTTTCCTTTACCTAATGTGATAATCAGTGCTCTCTCTTTGACTAGTTCTTAATGTTCCTACTGCAGCCCCAGAAGTAACAACCAAATTCTGACAATTGTATTCCTGGGAAATAATGCAACACAAAACAGTCACTGGGTCAAAATTTTACAGTTTGACTGTAAAGTCAAGCATGCCTTTCCTAACTGTTGTATGAACACATGATGTATGTATTGATTTTTAGATGTCTTATATTGACAATATTAGCTATTATCTCCCAAATCCCTGCTTGTTTTGTTGGATGACATGACCACTCATTGAGTATGGTATTGAAAGATAAGTGCTCTGTTTTATTTTTTGACAGAATCATTTGTTGTTTTAAAGCTTGATTATTATTTTAATAAAACTGAAACTTGCACCATATTACATAAAAGGAAGTAGTTTACATTCATACAGGCAGCAAATATGTTTTGCAATATCACATTTTCCTCAAAATGGCTAGGGTTTAGGGAATCAATGTTAAATGGACTTATAATCATGCATATTTGGGCTTTTGTTTATTTGTGAAATTATATGCATATCAGTTATCAGCTTAATAAAATTATAACCTAAAAACTTGAAATACTTTGCATAGCAGTGTATCAGTCAGGGTCCTATTTGGAACATAGAAACCACCTTAGATATTTCAAACAGAGGGAACTTAATGCAGTGAATTGGTTGCAAGTTTTGAAAAAATGGAGGAGCCAAGGAAGGAAGATGAGGATTCCGTGAAATCAGGAACTAGAAAGTCACTAAGCTCTCCTGAGGTCAAAGGAGCAGAGGGCTTTCTGGTGTTCTCAGGACCACTCATGTGTCCCTTAAGCTGCTGGTTGAACGGCTGCAATAGTAAGCCAGGAGCTCATAAGCTCACCGAGGCTGCAGGGATCCAGGAATTTATGGCAATTAGGATTTACCTACCCCTGCCACTACCAGAGCCAGGACCAAGAAAAGAATCAACTTCCCCCTTCCACCTCCTATTTGCATATGAGTGTTTTCCATTGGTAGAACTACACAGGAAACCAACAGTCAGCGGGTTCTGGAAAATGACTCTCCAGCTCCCTTAGATATCAAGCAGAATAGAGACGTGCCAGTGTGAGACTAGGCATCAACAGAGAAGGTATTTGCTGCTACTAGAACTAGTATTGAGTTTTCCCTTTTGTTCTTCCTCGTCCTATGGACCTTCCATAAGGGGTCCACGAGATGCTGAGAAACACTACACCATTCTGATAAATGGAGCATGAAACTGGACTAAGTCAGTGAGTATATACCAACCCAGGCTAATGACTATAAGATGTGGGCATTAGACCCAAGACAGTGCTATCCTGAAATTCTGGGACTTTTGCAGAGAGCTATGGGACGCAGACCCTCTCCTCCTCTGGATGGCATCAAGTGCAGAGGTTACACCTTGGGCTGCCTCCTTCGTATTGTTACCATGAGGAAAACCAGCCTGAAGATGAAACTGACAGGGACAGAACAACTGGACTGAGAGAATGCCAGAAGCCTTATGGAAGCACACTTCAGGGCTGCCTTTTCTCTGAAATTCTCAATTATGTAAGCTCATATAGCCCCTATATTGTTTTAGTCAGCTTGAGTTCACTTTCTGGGTAGTATTTGCAACAAGAAACATCCTGATACATGATACAGTTCCTAGACCTGGCAATAAAGAGTCCCATACTCTAGCTACAAACTTGTATCTCTGGCTCCCACGCTCTCTCATTCCTACTAAGCCATTAGAAATAGGCAAACTGAAAAAAACAAAAACAAAAAAAACACATCTGTTTTGTACAACCGGTAACAACTTTCAACTTTTGATAGAGTACATAGCTTTTTTGAAAAGATAATGACAAGGAGAAATTGCATGATATTTTAAGGTTGATCAATAGATATACAATAAATTTTATATCCACAAGAGAAGAATATACCTTATATTCAATACCTGTGTAATAATTATGAAACAAAAAGGAAGAAGAGAAACTCATGTACTTAGACTACAAAGAATATTTCAATAAACTTCTCAGGTCATATTTTCTGATAACAATGTAGTTAAACTGGATATTAATAAAGCATTAAATGGGGGAAAATTGCCTATCATTTCAAAGTTTAAAGTCTCTAAATCTTGGGCCAGCAATAAAATCAATATAATTTGAGACAATCTTAAAATAAGAAAAACAAGAGCACAATGTGTCAGCATTTTTTTGAACATGGCAAAACTTACCAGAAAAAATTTCATAGTCTTACAATTTTCTATTACTAAAAATAAAGATTAAAAACAAGAATTTTTTTAAAAAGACACAAGAACAGAGGAATAAAATCCTAAATATAAAAATCAAGGTAGAGTTGATAATCCAAAAGTTTTGTTTGATTTAAAAATAAAAGTAAAAAGATATAAACTGCGAATACATATTATTAAGAATGAGAAAGAAAAACAGCCATAGATATGGAGGAAGATAGCATTACTAAATAACACTGTACTAATAAATTTGAAAATTCCAAGTCACATGAGTAACCTGGAACATATTAACCTTCTTTGTACACAGAGAAATTTTTCGTACACTTTGGACTAACTGTGCATTCTACGTGGAATCCTGTTATGGTCTGAATGTTTGTGTCCCTGCAAGATTTAAGTTGAAATCCTAAATTCCCAAAGGTGAAGGTATTAGTAGATGGGGACTTTGGGAGAAGATGGAGTCATGAGGGTAAAGCCCTCCTTAATGGGATTAGTGCTCTGGTAAAAGATGCCCCACAGAACTCCCCAGCCCTTCTGCTTGTGAGGATGCAAGGAGAGGTCTGCAACTTCGAAGAGAGCTCACCCAACCATGCTGGCACCCTGATTTCACTTTAGAGCCCTCAGAACTGTGAGTATTAAATTTCTGTTGTTAATAAGCTACTAGTCTGTGGTATTTTGTTACAGTAGCCCCAGTGGACTAAGATAAATCTCTCTGGATCTGTGGTGGTTCCTTCTTGTCAATGATGTCTCAGCTTAAATATCAACTCCTCAGAGAGGTGGTTTATTTTTGGTTTTGTTTTTGTTTTCTGACTACCCATAATTCCTCCACATCCCTCAGGCAGTCACTTCCTATCACATCATACTTTAAAAAAAAAAAAATTATTTAGGGGCGCCTGGGTGACTCAGTCGGTTAAGTGTCTGCCTTCAGCTCAGGTCATGACCAGGGTCCTGGGATCCAGCCCCCCGTTGGGCTCCCAGCTCAGCGGGGAGCCTGTTTCTCCTTCTCCGCCATTCCCCCTGCACCACCTTGTGCTCTCTGGCTCTCTCCCTCTCTGTGTCAAATAAATAAAATCTTTAAAAAGAAAAAAGAAAAGAAAAGATTTATTTATTTATTTATTTGAGAGAGAGGGGGAGAGAGAGAGAGTGTAGGAAGAGGCAGAAGTAGAAGGAGAGAGAGAACCCCAAGCCTACTCCCCGTGCATGGAGCACAGAGCCCAAGACGGGGCTCGATCTCATGATGCTGAGATCCTGACCTGAGCCGAAACCAAGAGTGGCCACTTAACTGACTGAGCCACCCAGGCGCCCCTCATATCACACTCTTAATCTCACCAGAGTATTTTTCATTACTTGATATTGTAAAGAATTATTTCATGGTTTATTATCTGTCTTTGCTTCTGAGAATGTAAGTTGCTTGAAAAGAGGGGCCTTGAATGTCTTTACTGCCCGAAGCTCATAGAACAGAGGCACATAGTTGGTATCAATAAATGTTGTTTATTCTCTACAGAAAACTTAGTATTATGAGTTATCTGAATAAAAATCAAAAGTGAATTACTAAAAGAGCAAAAATAGCTCCATTGAAAACTTCTGATAAGTGAATAAATAATGTTTTAGGAAAATAAAAATGACTAGCATCATAAGACATATATCCAATAATTATGGAATTACTTAAAAAAAAAACACTTTCAGGGATGCCTGGGTGGCTCAGTGATTTAGCATCTGCCTTCAGTTCAGGTCATGATCCCAGGGTCCTGGGACTGAGCCCCGAGTTGGTCTCCCTGCTCACTGGGGAGTCTGCTTCTCTTTCTCCCTCTGCCCTTACCCCCCCTCCATGCTCTCTCCCTCTCTCAAAAAAATAAATAAAATCTTAAAAAATAAATAGTTCCAAGGCATGACAGTTTTACTGTTGAGCCCTTGCAAGCTTTCAACAAATAAAAACTCTCCATGTTACTTAAAATGTTTGCTAGCCCAGAAAGTGATGACCAATTATTCAATTATATATTTAGAACACCTAAAAGAATAAATTTTAAAATTCTTAGAACTAGAAAAAACTTAAGTCAAATATTTAGAAGCAAAACAAATACAAAAAAATTAAATATTTTTATTAAAATATTAAAATATTTATTGTATTAAATATTAATGTTGTTTTAAAATTTGTTTGTTTTAGGGGCACCTGGGTGGCTCAGTCGTTAAGCATCTGCCTTCGGCTCAGGTCATGATCCCAGGGTCCTGGGATCGAGCCCCGCATCGGGCTCCCTGCTCCACGGGAAGCCTGCTTCTCCCTCCCCCATTCCCCCTGCTTGTATTCCCTCTCTCACTGTGTCTCTCTCTGTCAAATAAATAAATAAAATCTTTAAAAAAAAAATAAAATAAAATTTGTTTGTTTTAAAAATTATTTGAAGCAATAAGGACTTAATTTGCAATTAAAATTCCAAGTCAAAATCTGAATGTTGTTGGAGATGGACAAGTTATTCTCAAATTTACCCAAACATAGGGGAAATAATAGCTGCTAATATGCAAGTATACAGTGTTTGGTAAAGGAAGAATATGAATTTAAAAAGAAAGGCTGTGTTTTCAACAGTTTGGGGGAAAATTGCCTACTTGGAGGGAAAAAATATATTAATTCACCTCTTACATGATAAAGCAAATATTATAAACTGGTCACCATTGTACCATAACTGGGCCACAAATATAAACTGTTTGTTGCATGGTATTCTAAAAATCAGAAAAATTTTCAACAAAATATAAATGTTTAAGAAAAACTGTGAAGAAAAAGTAAATCAGAAAATATAGCAATACTAGACTGTCATCCCCAGATGGCCAGAATTGGCATGAACAGAGGAGTGGTGGCCCCCTGGGTTCTGCAAATTGGCACAGTTCTTCCTACCTCCTGTTCAATGTCAGCTTGTCTCATGCATTTATATGAATGGCTCCACTCCTGTAGGCATTTGAAATTAAAAACTCCAGATGGACCAAGAGTTAGATTTAAAAGATAAAACATGAAATAAATTAGAAGAAAACACAGGTGGATATTGAACTGGTTCTTATGAATTGGCCTAAGCCAATTTGATTTTGTATAGCTCTTCAGTTATTTTTGTTAATTAATAGTAGTCTCCAAGGGTTAGAGGTGGTTGAGAATTAACTACTTCCCCACAACCTCTATCAGGTTATAAAGAAAGTAATTCCCAGACCAAATTCTTCCACACATGCAACCATTTATCAAATTAGTAGTAGTAGGCAAAACACCTCATTAAGGATCAAGTCTTGGTGCCATCCCTGAGCAAACAGGATATAGGATTCCCTCGATTTTTGTATACTGTTCAAACAAGAACAGAAAGTGTCTCTGAAATTTGTATCTGATGTCATTAACTCCATCAATAAGAATCCATCTCACCAACAGAAACCCTTTTCTACCATTCCTATATTCATTAGCAAAATATCTGGTGGTGATCAGAGAGAAACTAGCTGAAGCACTTATATGTAGTCTTTGGAGTGTGGCCTTTCTGACAGAAAGCTAGCTAATCACCCTTTAGATGGGAAATCCTGATTACAGCAAATGACTGCACATAATGTGTAGCCTAAGCCAAGTAGCACCTACCTGATAGCGCACTGTCCATGCCAACACCTTTATAGTGAATTATGGACATAATATTGTCTTTTGCAGGAGAGTACTTTCCAAGCATGAAAGAAATAGAAGAAATTACAAAGAAAAAAACCAGTATTTGATGCCCTCAAAATGGCAAGCTTCTGTACAACAAAAAGACCTTAAATTAAATGGGGAATGAAAAACTGTTGGGAATATTAGTAGCAATTATTTCCTAAGTGAAATATACATTATGTTTATTACATATACACATACACATATGTGTACACATTTATATATTATATATGTACCTATGTTTCTGTTTTCTTCTTTGTCTTTTTATTCGTTCCCTTGTTATGGGAGAATGGTCACATGGATTTTCCTTGATGTGCAGGTATATGTGCTTGCTCTGCAGTAAGTGGAGTCTTTCTCTCTGGCATGCTCATCTTGCTTCTGTGTTATGAGGCTGCTGCCGATTCTCTCCAGTGTTTCTCTGCTGGCCACAGACCTTCTACTGATCCCCACTGGGGAAACCCCATCCTAACTGTAGGCAAAGAAAACTCTCATGCAGTCCAAATAACCAGAGTGTTTTGTTTTGTTATGGGGAGGGCATTTTTGGCTTTGTTTTGTTTTTGCCATGCACCAGTTATCTGCCACTCACCCAAGAGGTACCTTCCTTGACCTGGGAGGATTCTCAACTACCATCACAGAGATGGAAACTTGAGAGAGTAGCTTATCTTTCTTCCTTGTCGCTGTTGCACCTCACAGAGCTGAGCTGCCAGCAGCCACTGCAAGCAGGAGTAGTTCTAGAATAACATCTAGATGACAGCAGAATGCCTCCAGCCCTACTCATTTTCTACTCTAGTATTAACCACTTCCTAGAATGATTAATCTTGAGAAAATCTTTCTATATGTATATAAATCACAGTCTTGCATCAAGGTCATAATGTCATATAATCACAATGTCAATATTTTACACTGGTACATTTCCCCAAATCTGTGTTATTTGATCATGCAGTGGACATCTGTTGTTTATGGCTGCCAAAAATCCATTTCCTCTTCTTTTGAAATGGTGCCCTGAACTATCGTTGGGAAAACTACTTCTTCGCTATTGGATACAACAAGGAACTATCAATCAAGATGTCCCCATTTCCCTTGGCCAAGGGATGGACATGTGACCCAAGCTATACCAATCAGATGCTTTCCTCTCCTTGGAATTTAAAGCTCACATGGAATGTGGAGAAAGGTGGAAAAAGCAGTTGGAGCTGATCAATCCCACTGGGCTGTGACTGCCTGTTCCTTTCCATTTTCCCCATAGATACCTTTGGCTCCTTACTTTTCCAAGACTGACTCTGAGATTGTGTAAAGATGTCCCATATTCTTCAATCCTCCAACATATTCCTCTGTGCTTGTTAAGATGAGATGATTTTTGTTTCTTGTGCTTAAAGAATCCCAACTGATAAAAGTTCTACTCATGATTGCAGTTTTATATAAGAATGACTTTTCTCGGGTGCCTGGGTGGCTCAGTTGGTTAAGCGACTGCCTTCGGCTCAGGTCATGATCCTGGAGTCCCTGGATCAAGTCCCACATCGGGCTCCCTGCTCGGCGGGGAGTCTACTTCTCCCTCTGACTCTCCCTACTCTCATGTGATCTCTCTCATTCTCTCTCTCTCAAATAAATAAATAAAATCTTAAAAAAAAAAAAAGAATGACTTTTCTCCAAATTTCCTGTTACTTGGTTACATCTATCTACGAGGAGAATTCCAAATTGATTTTACTGACACCATCCTCCCATCTGGTCTACTTTTCTCCTAGATGCTGGATCTATTCGCAGGATGGGGAGGATGGGGGGATAAGATCAGATCATCCCTGGAATACGGTTATTGAGGTCAAATGACTGTCATGACTCATTTTCAAATTCTAATACTTTCATTTTTGCTTTTTATTGCCACAAATCAAACACACTCTTTGAGTCCCTGGTGGGAAGAGAAGAAAACAGATGAAAGCAATGTCTGTGATGTGGAGGTGCTCCTTCCCCCTCTTGTTGCCACCTGGCAGCAGTGAATAGGCCAATGCAGGTGTAATCAGGGCTGAGGTTTCTGAGTCTGGAGTAAAAAGATTGAATTTATCTTTGAGGAAGACATTCCCTTGCTTTGTATTAGACTTCTTAAAAATGTCTCTTTAATCATCCAGGTCTAAGGCAAAAACCTACCCATGAATTAATAGAAAAAATATATATATATAGGTCTCTGGCCCTGGTTCCTGTACAAAGCTCCTAAAATCCTTATAATTTCCTAGGTGACAAGGACACTAGGAACATCTTTTGTTCTGATATTTGATGTTTAACCCCCATTTCTGACACAGAGTTCCTAAATCCCTTGGAATTTCCTGGGTGATAGCGGTGTCTTTTATGAGATGAATCTCCATGGGCTTTGGGATGGGGACTGGTCACCAGAAAGACTAAGACATGATTAGAAGCTTGGAACTTTCAGCCCCATCCCCTATCCTTCAGGAAGGGGTGAGGGGGCTGGAATTGAGTAAATTATGATCATGCCTACATGCTGAAGCCTTCATAAGAATCCCAAGAGTATCAGGTAGAGGGAGCTTCCAGGCCGTTGAAGAAGTGGAAGTGTCGGGAAAGTTGTGCTCCTGGAGAGGGCATGGAATCTCTGTGCCCCCTCCCACATAACTTTCCCTATGCATCTCTTCCATCTGGAAGCTCATTTGCATTCGTTATCATATCCTTTTATAATAAACTGGTAAACAGAAAGTAAACTCTTTTCCCGAGTTTTGTGAGCTGCCCTAGCAAATTAATTGAACCTGAGGAGGGTGTAATGCTCTAGGAGTGCTGACAGTACCGACTCCATCTTTGGCCCTCCATTTTGTTCATGTTTGCTCGGTGATGTCTCTTGGGGCTACACATTCCAGGCCCCTGGGAGATTAATATACATACCTTAGAAATGCCCACCAAGGCCAGGATGGGGGGAGAGTTGTTTTGGCCTCCCGTGAATCTGTTAGAGATAACATAGTCTTTCCCCTTCCTGACGCACAGGTGGTGCCGCAAGATCTAACTGAAGAGTAGCTGTCAGTTAGGTGCCTGCAACCCTCTGAGGTGCGTGCAGACCCTTTGATCTCACCACAATGCCCTTCTGCATATTCCCCCACTCTATAAAATCTGTGGACTAAGGTCCGGGTTTTGCAAGGAATAACTATGCAGCTGCCATGCATCATTCTCTGCCCAATGCTCCCTGTCCGTAAGTTCTCCTGAATAAAACTCTGTGTAAACTGTATGGAGTGGCCAGCTTCATTTCTGGTCTCAAAGTGCCTTTTCAGTGTGGGTGATACTTTACTGTCTCTCTTCCACCTTCTAACAAATGGGAACCTCTAAGTCATAGCTGATTGGCCAGAAGTACAGGAAACAACCTGGGCTTGCTATTGACAGCTGAGGTTGGGGGCCCTCTTGTGAGACAGCCCTAACCTGAGGGATCTGATGCTTTCTCCGAGGAGATAGTGTCAGAATTAAGTTAAATTGCAGGTCACCCAGCTGCTGTCACAGAATTCCTTGGTGTGACCCCCCCCCCCCATAGCTGGTGTTAGAGAGTTGTTAATGTCGTATCATGTGAGAGTAAAGGAGAGACCCAGGAGTAGTGTAGATTTTCTTTATACTACCCATTATTCTTGGAAAAGCCATTTTCATATTTATATATTACATGCT